AGTGACCATATATCAAAAGTTATTGAGAGTTGTCCAAAAATCTCCCAAAGACAAAATTCCGTTTGATATTCCAGGAGTTTACAGCATTCCAAGCATATTCGGTCAAGAAAACATTGGAGCGAACGGAAAAAAAATATTAACTAGAAATCTATAAGCAACCAATCTTAACCGCGACTCATGTCTTTACCTTTCACCGATATAGGAATCAGTTATCCGAGACAATGTTCATGTCCCTCCCTTAGCTCCTCCGCCCATAAAAGCAGGTAAAAAGTAGAATACGACCCAGTTTCAGTTTAGCTCTGAAGAAGCCAACAGAATGATTGGCGAAACATTAGCTGGTATGTTTTATGCACTACCGATATTGTCAAAAAGTTTGACAGAAATGCTAACGCATTTTAACTATGCAGAATTTGTCTCTGGGTCATATTTATCAAAAAATTCAAAATTCGTGTTGTACATTTGTATGGTTTCGCAAACGGTCATTGTTTTGCTTGAAATATATAATTTTTAATTAACAGATCAGCCCAGAAATTTTTCTCAAATATGGGGATTGAGTACATAAATTTATAAAAATATAATTTTCTTATATTTCAACGAAAGTATAATCACATCTTACATACGTTTAGGAAGTTAAACATTTTATATATATATATATATATATATATATATATATATATATATATATATATATATATATATATATATATATATATATATATATATATATATATATATAAGTTAAAAAATAAATAAATATCCCGAAGGCAGACATATAATCATAATACTCGATTCAAAAAAGAGTTAAACATTCCACTGCCTTTTTTTAAAAGTGTTTTTCATTCCAAGCCAGCAAACTGTATAACAATATTCCTAACAACTTTAAACCTCGGACCTTAAATTATTTTAAGTTTAAATATAAACAATTTTTATTATTCCAACAAGAGTAACATATACTATAGAATCTAGCACTTGTTATTGCTTATTCCTTTCCTTCTATCCACCTATCTATCCATTGTATAGCCTAGCCTTAGGCATAATAACGGGTAATTCCACATTACAATCTGAAATATTTTTGAAACGCCACTGTATTTGTTTATTATCATATGAGATTTCTAACCTCAAAACATAAACAAAATTAGTCATGGAGCAATATAGGACTGAACAACGTGTAAAAATTGTACAAGCCTATTATGAAAATGGTCGATAAAAAAAATGCATTTCTGGCTCTACATGAATTTTTCGGAGCGCACAATCGACCTTCTGAGAGGACAACTTGGAATGTGATTCAAAAATTTGAGCAAACTGGATCTGTAACTAACCTCAAAGTCCCTCAACGTGCTCGTGCAGGTCGGTCAGATCAAAATATTGCCATTGTTCGCGAAAGTGTAGCCGAAGATCCAAACACATCGATTCGTCATCGATCGCAGCAAGTGGGCCTTACTCAACCACACAGCGAATTTTAACGAAAGACTTGCATCTACACTCATATAAAGTCCAAATAACTCGTTAGTTGAAACCTCGAAATCATCAACAACGCCGCGTGTTTCTAGAATGGATACGAGAACAAGGGGTTCATTTTTCAAAGAAAATCATCTTTAGCGATGAGGCACATTTTCACGTTGATGGCTTTGTTAACAAACACAATTCTCGTATTTGGAGATTAGAAAATCCAAGAGAGATTGTTCAAAAAGCAATGCATCCTCAAAAAGTGACTGTTTGGTACGCATTTCCGTGCGGAGGCATAATTGGCCATTTTTTCGAGAATAATGCGGAGAACGCTGTTACTGTGTTCGTTATCGAAACATGATATCTGATTTTTTCTGGGAGCAGTTGGAATGTATGGACATTGAAGGTTTGTGGTTCCAACAGGATGGAGCCACTTGTCACACATCGAGAGAAACGATGCAATTGCTGCGGGGCAAGTTTCCTGGTAGGATTATCTCACGTAACGGCGATATCAACTGGCCTCCGAGATCATGTGATCTTACTCTCATAGGCAAGTGGCAAATTAAAGTGTTTGTATATTTTTATATTCTTCCAAGTTTTTTTAATTATTTTAATGTGGAAACCCTTATTGAATCACCCTTTATATTAATTACAATTAGTGTTGGTTCATATTCGTGTAGTCTGAGTGTAAGAATAGTCCATTGGCTAAACTTCGCCCCGAAATAGAGTATATATATCGAAAGACTTATGTTATACATTGTCGATTGATTTATCTCAATAACGTCGATTATTACTATATGAGGCTGCCTGTTTTAAAGGGCTATCCTGCCAGTACTTCTTGTCCTGCGAGGTCTAAAGCCCCACATTAAAAAACTTTTCTTTATTTTCTTCAATCTTTAAACTGGATACTATATGGGCTATCTCACAATTATTCTTTGTTCGTCTATCTTTTCCTGTAGGTTAAAGCACCACCGCATTGGAACTGTTGGCACAATAACTTATCACATCCTAAACGAATAACAGAATATATATTTTTTAAATAATATAATACAGTTTCATGATTATTAGTTAATATCGACTTTTTTCAGGGGGTGCCAAAAAAGTGTAGATTTTTCGACATTTAACAATGGTGTAAAATAGTTTTTTTAATAGAACACTGTCTAATAAACTTATAATACTTAAATACAACAGAACTACGAATATTCTACTCATCCACTTGATACCAACATACAGGGTATTGCATTAAAAAACAAAATATCTGTCACCTAGGTTTTCATCATTATTAAAATTTCAAAGCTAAGCACAGTTTTGAGAAACCCTGTATAAATCGACATTACTACATACACATGCAGGGTAGCTAACTAGTGCGGGATTCTTTTATATCTCCACAAGAGTTTATTCTAGTTAAATAGTTACCATTATACAGGGTATCTCATAAGTCTCTCGCAACTTATTTTAAATGGAAAGCCCAGTATATTATTTCGTAACTAACCAAACCTAACCCGAAAAAGTGTCTTGGCTGGATTACTGACCAAAACAAATATTACACTTTTTTTTCAAGTCATGGTAGTCTCAGTAATTACTTATCAACTTGTGAGGGGTTCGAATTCGTAACAAAGTGATTCATCTGAAATTCCAAAGGTGCATTGATTTTCGAGTAAATTTGTCGACGCTGCATTTGCCAAAATATGTTATCTATATCTATTAGAGTCGTTAGTTAAATTCGAAAAAGATTCCATTCTAAATTATTCAGAACTTTTTGCATTGAACAATTTCTTTAAAAAATGATTACTCGTTCAATAGCAAGTTTCTATGATTGCATACTAGAAAAGGGACCTTTGCGCCTGTAAACAAATATCACTTTAACTCTAATTTTCGAGATCTAATTGTAAAATTTTACTAATTTCTAATTATTAGTACCTAATATCTGTCAGATGTAATTTTACTTTAATTATAACCGAGGTAATTCCAAATAAAAAGCATTGAAGGTTTAATTGCCATGTCTACTTGTACACTTGGCTAGTCATTGTACACGTGCTGTTTCGAAAATTTTCGGTTAATGATTTTAGTTTTTTACAAGTTCATTTCTCAACGGAACTTTTCGAATTACATCTTTTGTTAAAATAACCAACTTTGTATAATTTAGGGGACCAATGTATAATATCCCAAAGACTACAATTTTTATCAAAAAAGAAAAAACAACAGAGAAAAAATTATGCACAATAAAATATTTAAAAAAAACTGCGACATTTATAAAAATAAACATGGCGTAACAAAAGTCCCGATATTTTCACACAAAGAATCTGTTTGGCGTAAAATGTAGCAAATTTATTTAAAAAAACCGAATTTGTTTTTTTTTTTACTTTTAATACGTGCTTGGACAATATTTCAAAAGTAATTTACACAGTGGTATATAAAAAATGATACTTAATAATATGCTTGTCTATTATTTTTCCAAATATGGATCTGTGAAAAGAACTCACAATTTTTAACTATATATAGATGAACTATAGATGAAAAAAAAATCGGTGGTTTGATCTTGGCATAGCAGAGAACTTGACCTTTAAATAGATGTAGAAAGTTAGCATTACTACTCTTTTTGTCGTAAATTTGTCGTAAAAGAAAAAAAACGTCTGGTAATGCTTACTTCATACAGAAGTTAATATCAAAAGCAACCCTTAGAATTGCAGAATATTTTATTCGTGGATAAGGTGTGAATTTTTGGTCGTAAAAATAAAAAGTTGTCGCATAGCAGTTTATAATAAAAAGTTACAATTATAACAATAATAAGTTAAAAATTGCAATTTCAATTTTTCTGCGGCTTTATTCATTTATTAAAAAAAATAGGTCCATTTTTTTCTTTTAGGACTAATTTACGGCAAAAAAGGTACACAATAACAAAAACAAATAAAATATCCCAGAAAGAGTAAATTTAAAGGGTGGTATAACTTCCACATCATGTTAGCATTACCAAGGATTAGCAGTGGTAAGGCTAACTTCCTATACGTCCTTCAAGGGTACAAAAATAGCAGCGTCCGCAGTGCGGGCGAACCACGACCTTGAAAGGGCGAGCACACTTACATGGTCAGTCAATGTTCGAGACCAGTTCACACTACTTTTAATTTGACAAGCAATATCTATTGCCTTATTTACTTGTCGGTAAGGGCTAAAGTTAGTTAAAAAAGTATTTAAACATTTATTTAAAATGTAATAACTGTGATCGTAATGTAAATTCGTTGCAATCGAAATATGGTCAACGCATAACATAAAACAAAATTGGTAAAGAGAAAAGCGTTACATTATTTTCAAATGAATCACTCAGCCTTTTATATAATACAAAATAAATGCGATTTCTATTGGAGAGAGAGTTTCTTGTCCCGGTGATCCGAATGAACCGAAGAAATTATGAAAATACTATTTTTCTTTCACATAACAATCAGTTTTCGTCTCGGTGACTTACCACGAAGCCCACTTTATTTACAATTCGAATAAAATTTCCCGTACAACGTTTTAAACAGCGCACCTGTTAAACCAAATCAGGTTTTAATTTTTACCTGAATACGAAAGTCCAGAAGCCCGATCTTCGATTTCAGTTTACATCGATGGCGACTTTTTCCAAACAATCGGCACGCTTCGAAGTTTCGTCAGCAAATGTTACGCGGATCGCTGAGTTAACGATATGGCCACGCACCCATTCATAACACGTACTAACCTCCTGACGCTACCGGACTGACCGAGAAATGAAAACCCCCGTTCAGCTGTCTCCGCCGGCTCAGCGCACTCTCCCCCGTTCCGTCACACCGACTATTTTTATTATTTTCATTATCGAATTGTGGGGACGGGCACCTTAACGCAGCCTTCGGCGATAGTTCTTAGAACAGGTTTGTTTACGTAGGTCTGCACTTTTACGGCCTATTATGCCGGCACACGAAACTCGGACTAATAAAATTTGTTTCAAATACTAGACCGTCATCAAGAATACTTTTAAGTCCACTTCACGCCGACAATTTTTTCATGGATTAATTGGTAAAGACGTCATTTTTGTTTATCTTTGTTTAAACAACCAGCGGTGACAACAAACTTTGTCAGTATACCCTAAATGGGTATTTCAATGAAACACGTAATTATTCGATCATAAAATCTGAAGATCATTTTTATTCTTGAACTACTCAGTGTAACTAACCCCTCTTTTTAATCGTACCATCTGACAAACCAAATCAATAATTCCCGTCTTTTAAGGCCCCCACAGACGCTCAGTTTTTTAATACAGGCCGCCTGTGCAAACCTAGTTTGTGCAGGCATATCGGGGCGTTTGTGTGAACGTCCGGTCGACTGCGCAGGCCGTTGGCCTATCCTGAGCAAAATCAGACCGTGCTTGAATTTAGCCTGCGCAAACTTGGAAACCTGAACGGGGCAATCCAAAAATAGTAAGCCACGAAATGACGAATCTTAACAAACAGTTTTTAAGCGAATTTATTGAGGTATACAAAAGCTTACCATGTTTATGAAAAATAAAGAGTAAATAATACAGTGACGGAAACAAAAAATCCGCAGCCTATGATGTGTTGGTCGAAAAACTCAAAGAAGTTGATACGGGAGCAAATAGGGAAGCCGTAGTTAAAAAAATAGCTGTTAACCGCTCATGGCATGAAATTCATTGCCTCATCCATGTGTCTTACTTTTGAATTAAAGGAGAAAAGAGTTTCAATAATTTCAAGTCGGTTGTCTCGTTCATTCTTAGGTAGTTAAACCAATCCTGCTTCTCTAGTTTCAAATCAGCAAGCAAATTGACATGGGAGTAATCGTTTCTTTTGAGTAACCAATCTTTGGTCCATTTGCTTCTTTGAACTCACCGTTGTTTTTTTTGCTTTTTCTTTATTGCACAGGCAAGCACAATGCAATGTAATGCCGTGTCTCTAGAATCCATTTTCTTTTACTAAGTATAGAAAAACCGTGCCAAAACTAGTGAGTGTGAATTTACCCAGTTGGCTGTATAGACAGAACTGTGTTATAAACCTGCGTGTGTGTGGGACAGGCAATAGTATAGTTAAACTGCACAAATTGGCCTGCACAGTTGGTCTGTGGTAAAAAAATGAACGTCTGTGGGGGCCTTTATACTTATAGTATTAAGTTTCTTTCGCCCAACAAAAAATATTTTCACGACCGACGCTGTTCATTGAATATTGTGCTTTGTGGAGCGAGCTTCGGAACAAGTAACTGTTTCCCTTACGAATTTTGTGAGCACTACGACGTGATCTAAATGTATTTATTATCTTTACCTATAGGATACATTGCCTTTGTTCTTTCCTTCTACGTCATTGATATAGGCAAAAATTAGGCAACAAACTACGTATTTTTTTACAAATCGTTTCATTTTGGAGAGCCAATAGTTTCGTTTTATGTTCTCTAAAGGAATGCCGAATTAAAAATTGCCATAATCATCGTGCTTTCAAATCTGTCATCGGCCGCCTCTACTGTTTGGAACAAAATATCTTGATTCAACTCAATATTGACGCAATAATGTTTAGGTATCTTCTTATCTTTATTCTTTAAAATATATACAATTTTCTTCGTCCTGACTTTGAACGACTTTTGTCCCGTCTACCTCTGTTAGATTCATGATCGTGTTCACATTGATTGGGTTTCTACTCAAATAATCCATGTGACTCATCTGGCTTCCTGGTTTGTAGCGTACTCCAAACTTGAACTATTGTAGTTTCACTTGCAATAAACGGGAGAAAAGCCGGTTTTGTGGTAGCTGTCCTTACAGCTGAACAACCCGTGTATAATAAAAATTCTTTTCCCAAATGTCTAAGAGCAAAAACTACATGGTTTCCAGTTCGGAGCTATGATACTTGCTTTGTTCTAAGGTGCACTGTTTGCTAAAATATGCTATGGGATATTTTCCATCCTTGTGAACTTGATCAACAGGATCTTGCACTAGTAATCTCTTTACTGGTTCAATACCAGCGGATATAGTTCCTCAAAAAATTGTTAAAGGTCGCACGTTCTATGGATTTTCGAAAATACTCCGTTAAGCCGAAAAATTGTGGAAGTTGTATTACATTTCGGTGGGATTCTGGGTCTAACACAGCTTGAGCCTTTGATTGCGAAAGTCGTACATCATCCTGGTTAATCTCTCTTCCAAGGTATAACAGTTTGTTTTGAAAATTGTAGTGTTAAAATGCTCTTCCGAAAAAGCTGCAATGCAGCCGATATTATGATGTCATCCAAATAACAAAGAGCTGTACCAGGTAGTTCATCAACCTCTGAAAAACTTATTGGACATTCCCGGAAATCATTCTTAGAATTTCATATTTGCCATCTGGGATAATGAAGCCAGTTTGCTCTAAGGAACCCTTAGCCATAATATCCAGAACGTACAACAAACGAAGTGAATATTTAAAAATTTCTTAATTTTCCGATTTGTTCATCCATTATATTTTTGCTTTAATTAGAATGGCGTTAAGGGATCTATAATAGATACCAAGTCTCCGATTTACATTTCGCTTGCGTACAAGCACAACCGAGCTCACATATGCTCACATATTGGATTATTTCCTTCTCCTAGCTAAACTGGAATTCTTCGGGATAAAAGGTACTGCTCTTTATTTTGTAAAAAAAATTCTTGGTCAGAGATGCCAAAGGGTAGAGTTATAGGAAATACTCATTCATATGCCATTGCTTTGGAGAAGACTGTTCCCCAAAGGAATATTCTGGGACCTATTCTGTTCTCAGTGTATACAGCTGAATTCTTTACTTTTCTTAAATTTTGTAAATCTCATCAATACGCCGATGATACTAAGTTAAATTTATCTTTTGTTGTTAGTGAGGCTTTAAATGCCGCTACTAAAATAAATTTAGATGTAAAAAAAATTGCGGAGGTATCTGCAGCTCACAACCTCTTATTGAATACTATCAAAACGCAGATGTTAATATTTGGAAATAAGAGGGAAGATATTATAAAAAAATTTAGGATGACTTGCGGTTTTCTAAACATGTTGGCTTGGTGTTACACAAATCCTTCTATAAGTTGAGGACATTGTATATTCATAAACTTTTTCGCAGTAAAAGAGTCAAACTTAAACTCTGTGACATGTTAATTTTATCCCATGTCGCTTATTGTCTATTGGCAAGCTATACTTAATCGAGATGAGGACAGACTTCAACGAATGCTTGTATTCGTTTTAGTTACAATCTCAAAAAGTATGGCCATATTTCACAGTGCTTCTCTGATTCGGGTTGGGTCAAGCTGGAGGACCGATATAAAGTTCAGTCAGTCGCGTTTGTTTTTTTACTAAACTCCAAGCCAACGTACTTGTTTGATAAACTTTGCAGAGGAAATGATATTCATAATCGAGACACATTAAGACCGCGCGTAACTATCAAAAGCGTATGAGTTTATAAAGGGCGCAAATTGCGAATGTCGCCACTTTTGTATTGTTACTTATTTTGCAATATTTTCATTCTCAATAAAGACAGTTTATTATTATTATTATTATTATTATTATTATTATTATTATTATTATATAAACAGGTTATCAAGTAAATGCTGTAGATTGTACTTACGATCTTCTAAAAGCCGGAAAATGTTTTGACTTACTGGTACTGTAGTCTTGACATTTATTGTCATTACATTGCATGTGACTATCTCGAAAACTTTGTATTGTTTCTTAAACAATGTGTTGTTGTTCACAATATTGTCAAGGGCCGACTTGTTACTAATTACACTCGCACACATGTATTTCATCCGTCTTTTCCACTTCCACTCGCAAATCCGATACCGAGTCATCGTCTCTAGCATTTTTTTCACTAGAACTACCTCTCTGGTACACAATTTTAATTGGTCTTTCTTTGAATCATCAATATTTAGTTTTAATTCGCCCCTCGGGTATATTTCAAGACTATTTAATTTGTCCAGCTTTGTTTTTAAACAGTCAAAAACTTCCCTTAACAATGCTTTTAGTCCATTCCGACTACTATACGAAACTTCCTAATGCAATAAGCACTGATTTCTGCGGCCCGCTAAATTTTATAAGGCATATTTCGTGGGAACCTTCCAACTTTTTAAAATTAAGCTCGACTTTTTCAAAATTCTAATCAATTTATTGTTTTATTTTAGCATTTTAGCATGTTATGAGTTATGATAAGCCCAGTATAATGGCAACTATTTTTACCTCATGCAACACTTACAAACAAATTTTGTATTTAAAATTGTTCGATACCAGAAACTTTTATCATATAAAAATATTCCATAATAATGAGCTACTCTGTATATGCCTTATGTGAGGACAGTAACACAAGCTTGGACACAGTAAAGTAAAGCATCTGCTTTGCCAATAACCGTAACTTTAACAAACGGTACCTTGTTCCTAGAAAATTTAGCCAAAAAAAATAAATGGAATAACGGCAATTTTTACTTAATACTTTATTCCGATTACAAATGATGGCGTCAGAAATCAAATACCTTCTAGCTTACCTTTGTGTCGATGAACACAAAATTATTCGCGAAAAGTTACTGTAGACTGAAAAAATTAATTTCACATAATAAACCATCAATCACTGTATACACACCTTGGTAATTATTTGTCTAGTGTGATACATGTGACCTCAGGGATTCCGCAGGGGTCCTGCTCATGGTCCAACACTTTTTAATCTTTTAATAAACGACATATTTGGACCACTTTTGGTGATGATGTGATATTTAGAGTTATTAATTGTAATTTTTTTACTATAAATTTAGAAGTACACAGAGTGTTCCGAAGGAAATGCGAAAATTTTAAGGGGTAATTTCTTGTTTGTAGTTTGCTATACAAACGTCGAGTGAAAAGCCCACCATTAGGGAGATATCGGGATATAAATGTGGCGAAAAATATTATAAATATTACAAAAACATTATAAAAACACACTTAGTGCATATTTTTTAAAAATTAAATTATTCATCCTTAAGTAAATTTAGGGAAAAACATTTAAAATATATTGTTTATTTGATGTTTTAGTCAGAAACTTTTGTCTCCTGCATTTTTTTCAAAACACTTTTGCAAATAAAAAAAAATCAAGGCATAACATTACCTTATTTGACATTGCTCAGTTAGTTTGAATACAAAATAGGGCTAATTTAATCAAAAATTTATTATCTAATCATTTAAGTGTTCAATAATAATTTAATAACGGTAAATTACACTCAGAAAGGGCAGATATAGATTTTATGTACGGGTGGTTGGATAGCGACTTTACATTGCCAGCGTCAATCTCCAGATTTAAATCCTTTGGATATTACTGCTTCTTCTTCTTATGGCGCCGTCTCCTTACTGCTACACTACCTCAATACAGGATATCGAAGGCCTAAGAAATCTGATAATTGCGTCTTGTAATGGCATAACAAATAATCCAGGCATATTCCTGCATATTACGGACTCAATGATACGACTGAAAATACCCTCTTCTGAAAATTTTGCTTCGTTGGCCATCTAATAGATGAATTATGCCAAAGTAATCCAGTTTTCATGATTTTATTTCAGAAACCAAGGCATTTAGGACATGATACATCATTCGAAAGGCTTAGAACTTGTGATATACAGGGTGTTCTATTTCAAAATGCACTTTTAACCATTTTTGTATCTCAAAGGCAAATAATTAGTTTTGGCCAACCCTGTATGATATATTCGACAATAAGAAATAACGTGCAGACAGAAAACTGCGGCAGATAGGTACAGAAACGTATTATTCAAAAACAATGAAAAAGTATGTATTAGCGGATCGCAAAATGTAATAATATACATGGTGTTCTATTTATAATTTCAATGTTGATGCTACCTTTTCGATTCCTTACCAACGTTTAAACTATTTTAGATCGATAGAGCATCGCAGCTTATGGAACTAACCAAGTTTTCAGAACAATCCAATGTACTGTTCGTCGTAAACTTAAAGGTACGATCAACCATGTTAAAAAAGATATTTACTCATAGTTTTACTCATGAATAGACCACCAATTAGTTTCAAAAATGTTTATTAATCAATTATTTTTCAAATGTAATTGTTTAGAAGATAATTGCTTAATCTACAAAATGCAACTGTTTGACAACACCCGACTAATTTTGTTTTAATATTTTTTTTCGGCATGCAATGTGGTATGTTCGACTTCTTTTTTATTATTTGTTTTGGTTATTTTTGGTTAGGAAAGTTGTTGTGTGAAATGTTCAAATCTCCAAGAAGGCTTAATCCATGTTAATTTGTTGTTGAATCGAACTTACTGACTGTTGGCTTCTTCAAAGCTTGACCGAAACTGGTTCGTATTTTACTCAGTACTTGCTTTTATATTGTTGGAGGGGCATGAACACCGTCTCGGATAACAGGTGAAGACGGTTAAAATTGTTTAGTTGCTTATATATTTCTATAGATTCTTGGATATTTCGTTGGTAGAACAATATATTACGTGCAAGTATTTTAGTTTTATGGATTTTTTTTTTTAATTTAATAGATTGTCAAATAAGGGCCCAACAACCTAGTGAAACTCTTATTTCAATATCGTTATCCTAACCAAGAATATGACTAAAAAACATTAATGCTCAAAAAAATCCTCACCATTTGTGGGAAAATTTTCAAAAATTTTCAGTATTTTAGAGATGTGGGAAAACGAGCTACGTTTGTCGAAAACGCTGTTTAAAAAGAAAATGACACAAAGTGAAGTTAGTTAGTGAAATGTAGAGGCCTGCGCGGAAAATCATTCCCTATATTATTTAATGGGTAGATGGTAAAAACAGTAGACCTCAATGTATCGCATATGTCAATCTTGTTATGCAGTTGGCTTACTCTTAAATAATAGTAGAGGAAGAACAGCCGATCGTTTATTTTTAAGTTATTTTCGTTGTTGTATCTTGGTTCTGAAATCATAATTTACCATCAAAGAGTTAGGAATTATTCACGTCCCCATTATGCTCAATTTTAATAAAAGTGTGACAACAAATCCTTTCACGTTTAATGAAATAACGTTGACAACAACGATTAATCCAAATAATTAAAATAAGTATTCTTCAAATGAATATGGGTCTAGCATCACTAACTTTTCCTAGAATGCTTGTTTGAAGTTTCTGCTTGTATTAATACATTCCACAAAATTTAGTTTTGGAGTTGCAGTTAGTTGTATATCCTTATGCACTTATAATAAGGTCCTTTTATAGTTATGGAAAGAAGTCATTGGGTAGTATCATATTCTGAGTTCGCATGTTGTAACTCATTTTTATTCATGCATAGATTGCATACATAGCCATTATTTGCAATGACTTAAAGCTAAAAGTCGATGTTTTTCATTTTTTACATTAATTTTATGATCCCCTTTTGTATAATAATATACATAATGCTATTTACAAAACTTCTGGATTCCTCCTGCATTCCTATAAAATTATTATTTTCTAGAAACTCAGAACTTGTTTTATTTAACTCTATATAATCATAAATTGATGAATTGACTCTCTTTTGTGCGAAATAAAACATTTTCGTTTTACTGTTATTTTCTATTAGTTTATTTTGACCAAAACACAAATTTATTTCCTCAAAAGCATTTTTGGTTCACTTTATTACCTTGGATATATTTTATCCAGGATGTTTGTGTCGACCGCAAAGTTTGTAACCAAGAAATTATGTATACCCATTGTTAGGTGGTTCAAATAAAAAATGAATGTAAATTCTTCCAAATTACAGCCAATGTACTACCCTGCGGTATCCCTCCCATCTTTTCTAACATTTCCGATTTCATGGCTTTGCTTTCATGTTAGCTATCTAAAAAAGGTTTGATTTCATATCTCTCCATTTTATGCAATAAAATTTCACCATCTAGACAATCAAACGCCCTACTCAAATCTACAAATAATCCTATGGCTAAGTTTTTTTTCTCAAATGGGTCGAGAATTACTTTAGTAAATGGTTTTTTTTTATCTATTTTTGAAATTCAAATTATTTGTATAGTTCAAGAAGAATTTACTGATTATTTCTCATTGCATTTGCGAATTTATTTTCTGGCAATGGCGCTACTGAGAGTGAACAAACGTGGTCGTTTGGTAGTGTTTCACAATCTGTACCGTCCGTTCAATTTATCTTGATAACATTTTAATTGGCTGTTTACTTTTTTGTTTTTAGAGATGTCAAGATAAACAAAAAAGCAAAATGTACGGTTAGTAGCCTAGTTTTTTCCAAGTGACGTATAAAACAAAACACTATCAATTTTCTGACATATAAGTCTACATCATTTTTTTAATGGAACACTCTGTATATTATATATGTGTTATAATCAATGTCTTATTCTGATTACAATCAAGTAACACTCGTTTTTGACAAATCGGCAAAAATTGGAAATTTTTATATAATTTCAGAGAGCGTCCTGACTGCCAAATAAAAATATGTTTATGTTTGACAAATTAGTAAACAACTTTGATGGTTGAATTATTGTTGTTATAAGGGTTTTTCGCGAATTTAGCATCAGTGAAAGGAGTGATATGCTTCAAGTATACATTCTAAATAACAAAAGGGCAACCACAGCTCGTCGTAAGTTATTAGACTTTATCCCGAGCTCCGAGGTCCTTCAAAACAGATATTTCCAAGGCTGGCAAAGAAATTTGCAGAAACGGTAACGTATTAAACGCTAAAAAGGTATGCCGGAATCATAATGTTTTAAATGAAGAAAATAAGGCAAACATCAGTTTCCTCTATTACTAGAGTATATGTATATATATATGTATTTCTCGGGGATCAATCCACTTAGTTTTGAAAGAATATAAATATAATGCATTTAAATTTCGTACAACTCAACAGAACAATGTCAAAGAAGGATGCAGTTTGGATTTTTTAAATAGACATAATTAGAATAATAATTTTTTGAAAAACATTTTATGGACTGATGAAAGTTCGTTCACTACAAGAAAGGTTTGTAATAAAGAAAATACGCAATATTGGTTTTTAAATAAATAAAAACCAAGGGGTATCAATCAATCATTGTATGGTGTGGTGTCATAAATAGGTATATTTTGAGCCCGATATTTATAGATCAAAAATTAACTCGAGATCATTATTTGCAACTCTTAGAGCAGCAAATAGAACAATCTATAGAAGATTTGCCACTAAATATATCAGCGCTGATTATGGCAGCAAGACGATGTCCCGCCTCACAATCTTATGCAAGTTAAACATTTTCTTAACATGGAATATCCTAATGGTTGGATAGGGAACGACAAAACTATGGTTTGGCCAGCCAACAGCCCTGACATAACTTTAATAGATTTTTTCTTTTCGGGACACATAAAAAATCACGTGCACAGAACTCCTTGTAATAATGTAGTGGAACTTCGACAAAGGTTTTCAGAGGCAATCAATCAGTTAACAGACAATCCGGAAACGTTACTAAATGGTGATCACAGACAGTATTTAAAATACTAGTATTTAAAATAGTTAAAGAATTTTAACTTTAGTGTGTCTTGTCATTTTTAGTGTTTTTGTTCTGCTTTAATTTGTAAATATTTATGGTTGTTGCAGTCAGTGAGGGGACTATTTGAAATTATATAAAAATTTCCTATTTTTGCCTAATTGTCAAAAACGAGTGGACTAAAATATAAAGTGAGTACCATCATTGTAATCGGAAAAAATGGACAAAAAGATCTAGAGCAGCACGACCGTTAATCTTAGTTCACTGAGATTAAAGGTGTAATAATTTAGTAACTTACAAATAGGTTTTTATTTACATAACTCAATAAAACAGGTGTCTTACTCAGGTACTTGAAATAAATACTATTTACATACGTTTACAGTAATACAAAATATACAACTGACGTCGAGCGTATAACCAGAGCAAAAATCAAGAAGTGCTATAAGAATTAAAAGAAAATGACGATTTACTAATGAAAGGTACCTGAAAAATTAACACACGTTAATCTTCCAGCAAATAATGGCAGCCGAAAACACTTACTTGATTGGACGATGTAGTTGCAAAGTTTCTCGACTGTTCTTTACCTCGATGGTCTGGATAAACATTAGGCAACGGTCCCTAAAACGTAAAAACTATACCAATGCAATGTTGCAAGCGTAACCTGAACCCACCTTGGTAATTTCTGGAAAAATCGTGCTCAGATTGAAGTTGGTCAAAGAAGTGCCCCCCGAATTGACCGACGGTGAAACGTCCGGGTGCTGCAGACCAGATTTAGTTCCTGTCACCGGTGGAAAAGACGGCAACAACGCGCCTCCACTTAGGTCCGTATTCTGTTTGGGATACAGCGGATTTTTGCAAGGGTATGGAGTTGGAGGTAAAAAGGTAGTGTGATGGAAGTCGTCCGGTAAAATGGGAGAATTAATGCTGCCCGGCATAGACAGAAACGGGATATCAAACGCTGGTAAGATATTATCGTTTGGATTCTTTTTCCGCGTCGCTTTTTTGCAATTTCCGGCGTTCAAGATTTTATCCACTTTCGTCGTTTGCTTCCCGCACTCTTTGTATGACTTGTCTTTGCACGCCCCGTTATTTTGAAACACGTTGAAGCTGTCCGTATAGAATTCTTGAACGTTCCCGTCATGCGGAAAGCCCGTCGTCGGCAAATAGGTGGTCGTCAACGTCGAAACGCTCGGGATGAAACTCTTGGTCGTGAAGCTGTTGTTTTGGAACGAAGGCGGTAGATTATGAGGAAATGACGTCGTTTGATAATTTTGATTCTGCTGGATGTAACAACTCGCTTGTGACGCTTGGGAATCCATGGACGGAATGTAAGAGATTATGTTCTCTGGCAAGAAATTGGATACGCTCGTTTTGTGATTGGACTGGGCTTGATGCCCTATCAGCGCCTCCGCAGAGTAACTGCTGGAGACGTTTTTGACGATACTCTTGCTTTGATGTTTCTGGTCGTATGGATCGATTATATTAAAGCTGCCAGCGTTTTTGACTTGATTGTTTTTGCTAGGTTTCTGATAAATCTGCGCGTCTTTCGCGTCTTGTTTGGCCCTTTTACATTTCGGGGTAGTCGACTTTGTTCGGGCGTTGCCGCTGTTCCTCCTAGCCGCCGTTTTGACGGGTGCCGGATCTTTAGAGTGTTCAACTAGCTGGCTTACGGACAAAAAATTCGACTGGTTTATTTGGCTGTCATAATTTACCATTTTCGTTACGCTCTCTTTTCTGTCTTTTGTAACTTTAGGTTCAGGGTATTGGGAAGTGTTCAAAGCCAAATCTCCGACCAGCGTAGGCAAAGAAGACGAAACGAAAGAGTGAGAATGGTCAAGAAATTGTGGAACCTTTGAAGGCGACCAAGAGAATTGGTTTTCGTCGGCGTCCGTTTTTTGGTTGTAGTTAAACTGAGACAGCGGCAGGTCGATGTTCTTCTTCAGGTCGGTAATCGCGTTACTGCTGTGATCCGTAGCCGTATATATCGATGGAGTACCGAAGTACGTAGTGGTCGCTGCAGAGGTGCCACCAAACGAATTGTAATACAAGTTGTGCCCGAAATCACTTTCCTTCGAAAATGGCGGCACGAAATAATCAAACTTACAGTTGGCCGAATTATCCCCGGTCATCCAGTTTATCGGCTTACTTTGCTGGGGCTTTGCTTTCGTCTGGTTATTGGAGTAGGCATTTTTGATCGGTTGAATATTCGAACAATAATTGTTACTCGCGTGCATGTCCGGCTTCCTGTAGTTCGAGCAGTTGTCGTAACATGCGTAATCGCTTTTGGGTTCGTTAGCGGAGACGTTCTTAAAGTAGTTGTTGGGAAAATTCAGATCGGAAGGATAACTATAAGAGCAATTATTGGCGTTGCTATAAAACGCGTTATTATTTTTGTTAGTCTCCACGCTTGCGTAAGAACACCCATTCTTTTGATTGTTATAGTTGGAGGTGAAGTCGTAGGATTTGTTCAAATAATCTTTTGGCTTGGTGTTTTGCATGTGGCCGTCCTTGGTCTTACAGTTGCTTAAAGCCGTCGGCAACAATAAGTTGTTAAAGTTGGAAAAATTATCGATGTCGGTATTGGAATTCAAAGAATGATTGTTAATACTCGCATGTTGAAAATTTATTTGATTTTGATTGCATACGTTTGCGTCCTTTTCAGATCTATATTGAGCGGATAATTTGTGGGGGTCGCCGTAATCGGACGTCGATTGCGGATTACCTTGAACTCGACCATGAAAACTGCCACCTGTTTGACCTTTTACGGAATCATAATTTAGGGGAAACTCGTGAGTTACGTTCGAGTTGCAATTAGACACAGAAATCGTATTAGTGCATTTTGCTGTTTCAAAGTTACTAAACTCGTTCATTTTGGGTTCCTGTTTAGTAGTTTTTACCTTATCAAAAGGTTCTTTCATTCCTGCGGAAGAATCAGGCTTTCTATCCCGAACCAAGCTCGCTTGTGAGGAAACTGCGACTACAGTGTGATTTTCGCAATCATTCAGTGTAGAAATTACGTCTTTTATTGCGTTAGCGTTACTATTACCAACGGAGTTAGTCGACGTGGAATTATAAGAATTGTAAAAGCCGCCGCAAATTTCCTTGCTGGAGAAGAACGAAAAATTATCTATATTTAAAAGGCTAGGCGTAAGATTTTCGGCGTTGCCTTGCTTAGGCTTGGACGAATCCAAAGAGCCTATCTGAAGCAAATTAGGCGTCTCTGACTGACTGTCGCACTGGTTCTCTTCGTCGATAACTTCCGTTACTTTTGCTCCTGTAGAAACAAGCGGGAATGCCAACAAAAAGGCCGCAGTAGGTGATGTCGACTCTGGATTCTGACAACCAGGCGGTACTTGCAAGGAAGCGAAAATATCATTGGAGAGATCCGAATGTGCGAGATTAATATCAATATTTTTAATCCCTTCAGTTGCAGTTTGAGTTGTGGGTGCTTCAATATCGACCGTCTCCATGACTGGAAGGTCTGTATTAAGTTTTTCTTCTTCAACAGTGACAACATTTGATGTTTCTTGCAACGCGGCGTGTTCAGTATTACACATATCTGACATGACATTTTCAATGATCTCTTGTTGGCAGGAAGGCACAGCAGTTACAGTATCTACAAAATTTGATTTATCTTTTGTTTGATCACTGATTTCTTCCGTTTGACTTGTTGAAACTCCGGATTCAGAAGTCGGCAACAATTCACTTGAGCAGTCAATTTTAGAATTCAAATTTGTTTGTTTACTCTCACGACCGACATCCGAAAGAATTGCAGCTTCCAACACAGGTTTAACAATGTTTTCCTGGTCTATTACTTGATTGCTGGGTGCTATACTAGATATGGTACAAGGTGGTTCTACTAAACCGCTACCTTCGCTAGTGGACTCCTCAAGAGAATCATTTTTTGGTCGTTTTATATTAGTTTTTGTATCTAAATCAGATTTTCTTTTCTTTAACTCTTGGTTGTCGCTAGATTTAACTTTATCTTTAACAGTTGTTCCTTTAAAAGACTTTTTTTTTTCTACACCGCTATTTTTTAAATGTTGCACCGAATTATATCTTGAAGTCAGTGCCGGTATGGGGAGTTTTATCACTTGGGTTGTCTGAGTCAACCATGACTTTGGTTTAAGTTTTGGTAAAGAATCTTTCCTAGCCACATTATTTTTGTAGATGACATTTTGACACGTAGTAAGGGACTGGGACACTACGACTTTGTTGCTCGTGTTTGTTGTTGGAAATTTTGACACAATAATTACTGCTGATGAATTATTTTGAATTGGAGTGGTAATTATAGTCGGAGTGGATATTGATTGGGGGTTTTGGTTAATGGGAAAAACAGTTCCATTTGCTAATACCAGTGTTCCGGGACCAAGGCCTTGGACTGGTGCATTTGGGAATATCGATGGCTTAACACTTGGAGTGGCAAGCGGAGCTCGAAGCAGTGTGGAATTTGTCAATACTAAAAAATATGGAAACACTTCATTATATAAAACTCTAGGTAAAAACAAAAAATTTGTTGCTCTTTACATATATATACAAGATGCCCTAATAACTTGACAACAAAAACCTTAGAACAGTTTTTGTTAGTTATTAAATTAAATCTACAAATTTTAATTTGGATATACTCTATAATACAACAAAATAGTTAATCTAATATATTACCTGTTGGTGTTTTTTTCTTTGAGTTTCCTGCTATAATATAACACTGATTATTTACAGGTCCAGGCTGAGAGAGAATAATTACACATTTTTGATTAGGAACTTGGTTAAATTTGCGCCTGCTTTTATAAATAACTGTCTTATTCTTCAAGCTATCCACTAATGTTTTCCTGAGAGGTGAAGTGTCATTGATTTTTGCCTTTTTCTTCCTAGGAGGTGCTCTATTGCGTATAGCAACATTTTCTTCTAAACAAATTTGAGAACATAAATTAAGAATACATACAAAACAACAACGAAAATGTATCCTTACTTTCAATATCTGCTTTTTCCTGCAAAAATTTTGCTTGTTGCGGTGTGATTTTGTTTGACAACTTTGGCAACCGCTTCTTGATGGTGCCATATCCAGCGGGAATTTTGATTCCAGCATCATTAATAACTTTACTCAAAAATCCATTTCTTAAATGAAGTTTTTTAATTCTTGATTCAAATTTTGTAATAATTTCAACTAAAATATTGGACTGTTACTGTTAGAAGTCAAATACAACAAACAGATGAACAAAACAGTGTTAAACCTTTTACTTTTGCAAATAACAACAGACTACCCTACTCCAAATCTATATCCCTCTATAACTGAAAACATGTTGCAGTGCTTAGTAATTAATTGCTGATCCATACATAACTTATATAGTATTTACATATTAAATAAGTTCTACCTTTGGTGTCATCTTTTTCACTTTCGGACGATAAAATTTTCTTCACCTTTTCATCCAAATCCTTTATAGTGGATATGGCATTTTCAATAATAACAATTTTAGAAAGTTTTACTGAAGGATCAAAACAAGGCAGAACTTTATTTAGATTATTGAAAGCTTCATTTAAACGATGTCTTCGATTTTTTTCCCATTTAATTTTGCTACGAACAGAAAATTAAATTTTGTCTAATAAAATTTAAAAATACTAACCTTTCTTTTTCTTTCGGCATACCTATCGATAAATTAGCTGGACAAAATTCAACATATTTACGTAAGCTATTTTCAATAAAATATTGAACATGCCATACAAATTTTCAAACCGTATCCACAATTATTCCAACTTTTAATAAAATGTGGAATGCAAATAAACTATAGAATAGTATATATAAATTAACATAAAAGTTATCTATACAAATAAGATCATAGATCACTAGATTAGTATGTTCGATTGTTCAGCAAAAACTAGTAACAGCGCGCATCATCAGATTTTTAGATATTTCTAAACACGGCCCACAAAGAATAAGTAAAAATAATAAGAAAATCTGTGGCGATCGTACAAAAAAAAAAGGTTTTAATACATTACATTACACGCTGCAGATACTTTCAATATATATATTTAAAGGGCATAACTTAGCTATAGTTCAAGTAATAATAATAATAAGTTCAAATTGTTTTAATGCAATTCTAATAATCACAAGAAGGAACGTGGAAGAAGTCTTACTATATGAATTTTGTTTGAAAGAATGAAGTTATGTTAAATGGCCGAACGATCTTAGTAACAAACCCAATAGAAGAAAAAAGAACGTATTTTATTTGAAATATGACCGAACGATGCTGCTACGCTTGCCCAATAGAAGTAATTAATAAGGCACTTTAAAATGTGTAACATTAACATAAAACAAAATATATTTCATTGTAAAATAACACACTGTTGGTTATGATTTCATATTGTACTGAAGATCGACATGGATACAGCATTAAGTTTTCTCCATACAACTCTGATTGTTTAATCGTTGCAACTAGTCGGGACTTTGGATTCGCTGGAGAAGGTTCTTTATTTATTCTAAATATCGACAATGAGGGATCTATTGCTAAAGAATATTTAAAATTGCACTGGTCAGATGGACTTTTCGATGTGGTTTGGTCCGAGTCGAATATTGCAATAATAGTTAGTTGCTCTGGTGATGGAACTTTGCAATTATGGAATCTTCAAGCTCCTAATGTAAAACCTATCATCTACAGTGAACATAAAACAGAAATTTATTCCGTTGATTGGAGCAAATGCCGACAAGAGAATAAATTTTTGAGTGCTTCTTGGGATAATACAATTAAACTATGGGATCCAAACAGACTCAATTCCTTGCACACATTTTTTAAGCATTCCAACATAGTTTACACTGCATTGTTTTCTCCTCACATCTCAAATTGCTTTGCGTCCGCATCAGCAGATGGAACTTTAAACATTTGGAATTGTTTAGATGCTGTGAATCCTATTTCAGTTCAAGCTCATAATGCAGAAATCTTATGTTGCGATTGGTGCAAATTTGATCATAATCTCATAGCTACTGGTGCAAGTGATGGTCTTATTCGAGGATGGGATATAAGACAAATAACACAACCTGTATTTCAGTGGAAGGCAAGTTTATGTCCCATAAAAAGAATACAATTTTCACCCCATTGCTTAAATGTATTAGCATCAGTTGGTTATGATTTCAATACTAAAATATGGGATTTAAATCAAAATTGTAAAGCACTGGAAATTTTCTCTCATCACTCGGAATTTGTATATGGATTAGATTGGAATATACACAGGAAGGGTCAAATCGCAGATTGTGCATGGGATAGCTTTGTAAAAGTTTTTACCCTTAATTGTTTAAGTAATATATAAAATGCTATATTATAAAAATCTAACACATATACAAGTGGCGAAGGTACTCCTGAATGTTAGAAAGCACTTGCAATAAAATTTTGATAAATTTTTTCCTATACTTTTATTGGAAGATTTTATATACCTTCTCTTAAATCTAAGTCCTCAGATATTTCATTTTGTATTTCAAATCATTTAAAAAGTATATGGCATAAACTATTAAGACATATTGTGTAGCAACATTCGCTTGTTTGCAATTATATATTTGAAAAAACAAGAGGGAATCATAATTGCAAATAAGTGCAACAGGAATAATTAAAATACTTGTAATTTTACCCCTTCATTAATGACAATGTCCTCCTGGTGTAATATATCTCCATGGAGATTTAATTACTTATTCAGTTGGTAGTCACAGATTAGAGACATAAGTGGGAGATTTATATTCTAGTTAGAAGGTTTCACATTTTCTCTAAATCTGGTATGTGGATTTGAGAACTTACCCACTTGTAAAAAGAAGATTGCTTGTTATATATTTTTGTTATATCTATTGCACTTAATTAATTTTTGATAACGAAATATTATTGATAAGTGCTTTACAATATAGCAATGATAGTACTAAATTAGAAACATTGCCGATATTTTGTGTGCGAATTACAGAAATATCTGGCAGTTTAGCAGATTTACTTACTTGCACTCCTAATGTCGAACAATATCGTGGTAATAGGATCATGTATGATCGATTTTGTAAGGTATGGATAGAACCTGATTTTTTCACATGTAATGCTTACGTTCTTCTCGATAGCTATACTCCCCGCCTTCCACAGCCAGGCGAAACTGTTCATGGCACAAAATTTGTCACCAATTTTGGCGGTAAGGGCGCCAATCAGTGTGTCGCAGCAGCTAAGTTAGGAGGGAAAACCACATTAGTGGCTAGAGTTTGTTTCAAGGTCCCTTGTTCTCTTAATTGATGGACCACTAAATCACTTTATAGGTTGGAGGTGATATTTGGGGTAGCAAATATGTAGAACATCTTAAAAGTGCGGGTTTGAATACAGGATATATCAAAATTACTGAAAATCATAGTACAGGAATTGCACAAATAAGTGTGGCGGATAATGGGGAAAACCAGATAGTAATAGTCAGCGGTGCCAATAGTCAACTTAATGAATTGGATGTTAAGGAAGCCAGGGATGTAATAAGTTCAGCTGCTGTTGTGGTGTTGCAACTCGAAACCCCTGTCAATGTAGCTTTAAAGGCGCTCCAGTATTCTAAGGGTGTAAGTATTAAATTTAAACAACAAACTGAAATTTTAAGATTTAAACTTTAGATTTCTATACTGAATGGAGCCCCTGCTTTGTCACACTATGATCCATCCCTTTTGAAATTACCAACTATATTTTGCGTTAATGAATCGGAAGCATCAGTTTTTACAGGTTTGCCTGTAACCAATGTAGAGTAATTAGCATAATGATCTATTTTAATTAAGAATTAAGAGCTTTTTTACAGGGAAGCAGAAGTAGTTGCGCTAGATCTGTTGGCTAAAGGGTGCCGCAGTGTACTTATCACTTTAGGTCCTGAAGGAGCACTATATATAAATAGTGAAAGAAAATATTTTCGAGCCCATGCACCAAAGGTCAGAAGCATTGACACGACAGGGGCTGGCGATGCATTTATCGGCGCTCTGGCATATTTTTTATCAAGCAATAATGCTATAAGCATTGAAAATGCCATAACAGCAGCGTGTTTTGTAGCTGCGGATTCTGTTACCAAACCAGGAACACAGAATAGTTTTCCAGGGCCAGAAATACTTCATGATTGTATACAATTATTTAACTGATTTTTTTAAAATACAATCCAATCAAATCTAGCTTATATGCTCATCCACTATATTGCACTTGCGAAAACTTCCTAATCTCCAATGTCTGCAACTTGGGCGAATCATAGTAATCTTGGGTATGCTAAGATGTACTTTGCTTCTTAGAACACAGTTAAGCAAGTTCGCCATCGCCACTCGCCCATTATCGACGAGTTTTTTCTTTTGCTTACAGACTAACATAAAAAAGCTATTAACATTTGTTCTCAGCTTGCAAAAAAAAGGACTTTGGCCGATAACAAAAAACGGTCAGCCCCGCTTCCACCTTGGACCATTCTGGCCCATTCTGCCGTTATTCGGCGTGGAGGGGAAAAACAGCTGGGCCGGCAATGATTAGACACTTTAAAACCTCCACAAAACACTTAGGGAACAAAAACCACACAATTCAAATCGATTTCACAACTTATGCGACGATTACAAAGGATTCTGTGGGGAAAGAGCGGAGGTTAAACAGTCATGAGCAATGCTCACTATAGAATCCAAACCTGCTTAGATGTTGATACTAATCTAAAAAAATTGCCAGCACGATTTTGCGACTCGTGGTCATAGAAGGTAAGAAGAAGAACCAAAAGTAAAAAGGGTATTAACAAAAAATAATATCTTCAAGTTTCATGCATTATTTGAATGTTTCTTGGCTTTTAATGCAATCCATTTTATGTGAAAAGAAAATTGTTATAACAGAACAACATAACTAATTGACAAATCTTCCATTGAGCTACGTAATACGTACATCTCCCTTTGCGGCTGTAAAGGGTAAACGAAAAAATAAGAGAGAAAGCTGTTTAAGATTCACATTTCTGTACTCTTTGATGTTTCATGTGGTCAATGTCCATGGCATAGATAAATTTCTTAGGCCGTAGATGAGAAACATAAGCGGTTTTAGGTTCATTTATATTTAACGGGTAGCAAACTAAAAATGAATTGGATACAAATAAGTATTTAAAGTTTTGGTAGTTTTGTGGTTTATTCTTAAGAATTAATTGACACACACAGTGTACAATTTTATATCACAAATATTTGTTTATTTCTTGTATGTCAATAACTACTTCCATGATTCTTTACCACTCCTGCAAAACACAAAAGATTTGTATACCAAACAAAGACAAAATGCTCGGCTAACATTTTTTTGGAGAAGACTTGGTATAACGGCGATTTTTTCGAATGGCAACAAGAAACCAATTACCTGTTAAACACGAGGAGCATAGCATGGAGGTTAGTAGTTTTTTCAAATCAAATTGCCATAGGAAATGTTTTTGGATATTTTCATTTTTGTCAAAATTGAAAGTTTTTTTATAAAAAATGGAATGTTACAATTCTTCAGAATGTGTAAGTTTATTTTGCAAAATTTAAAACACAACTTGTAACATAGCCAACAATTTGTAATATAACGCACGCCCCAAATTTAATTTTTGGTCTAGACCCTTTCAGAGGTTTTTCGGTGCTTCATTTGCATGGAAAAACTCCGCGATGCTCATCTATGTCCTCACTGTTCTAAATTGTGCTGTTATGTGTGCATAAGAAGGTGGCTTACTGAACAAAGATCTCAATGTCCACATTGTCGAGCATCTCTACATTTGCATGAGTTAGTTAACTGTCGCTGGGTTGAGGAAGTGACCCAACAATTAGACACACTGCAAGCTAATAGTCTAAACACTTCCAGGGCAGATGAAGGTGAAAAAGACAGGTGAGCATAATCATTAACATTTTTGCATCATATCTGTTCAGAGGACAATACTTAGACAAAAATTGGATGTTTTACAGAAAATATGCACCCATAGAGGTGAACCAATCTAGGGTTAGTTTGAGTAGAATATAAAGTCAATTGAAGGTTTTCTTCAACTAATAGTTATTCTAAAATATTCTCAAGATGTTTCTTGTTACATATGTTTAGAAAGGTGCTCTTTGTGTTTATAAAGCAGAAACATATTTATGTTACTGACACCAAAATTTAAGATAGGTCTGGCTTCAATGGGCAGAAGGAACTGTGATCTGTGGTACATGGTATGGCTAATATGTATTTAGAGGGGTTTTTATTACAGAAAATTTACAAAAGATATTGAATCTGAAAAGTAGTAGTGGTTACTGGTGAAAAGCTTTTATTAAAAATGAATGAAACAAACTGTGAAATTCCAAATTCTTTAGGAAAAATTGTTATAGACTTATGGAGGAAAGGAAAATCTTATGGCATGATTGCTTCAACTATTGGTAAAAGATTTGTAACAAGTCAGTATATTGTAAAGCAAAAAAGTGAACTGTTTATGAAGAAGCATTCATAGTTAGGAAAATATTGAATAATCCGAAGTTAAGTGTATCTGAGTTAGCTATGGCACTAAAGGATGACTTCTCAAAAGTAGTCAATCCACAAATTGTGAGGAACTGTATGCATAGAGCTGGGTACAATGGACAAATAACAAACAGAAAACATTTCATTTCAGAACAAAATCCCAAAAAACGATTGGAATTTGAATTACAAAATATAGAGAGTTTTGGGAGAACGTGATAATCACTGACACAACAAAAATTAATATTTTTGGACAGATGGGTGAAGGAGTGTATGGACAGAAACAATAACAGCATTTAAACTTGAGCATTTGTGTCCAACAATACAGAAGATCAGCATGTTTAGCTAAACATACTGAGAGAATAATTGAAGCCTAGCATTTGTAAATTGGGACTAGATGACCTTTACATGTCTCAACAGGATCACATTCCCAAATATACGCCTAAAGTGGTGCTGGAATAGTTAATATATAATGTTCGGCAACAACTGAGTAGCCCTCCTTAGTCAACAGATTTTAATCTGATAGAACATCTGTTGGAACAGTTAAAGCGGGGCGGGAACAAAACCAAAATTTTCAGCAAGAAAGCGACTATGGCCCGGGATATAGAAGAATGGAATCATCTACCTAGCGAAGAAACCAGGAAACTAGTTCTTAGTATGGCGAATGGACTTAGAGCTATAATTAAGGCTCACGGTTATGCCACAACATATTAAATAAGATATTTTACTAACACAAATTATTCGTTGTACCAATTCTGATGATCAATAAATAACTTCAGAAAATATTTGTCGATTAATTAAGATTAATAAACTATGGGTTCAAGATCTTGCTTGTTCAATTATTAAAGAACAAGTTATTGGATATAAATATAGCTTTTTTTTTATTTAATACTCACGAATATTGAAAGCTCTTATTTACCGGCAAAATATATTTAGCGTATGGAGACTTTGTTGATAGACTGTATTTGCAAGAGTTAAAAATTTGAAAAAAACAGGTAACCGGCAAAAAGTATATCGGAATAAACGTGCATTCAATGAAGAAAATCAAAACAAATGTCTTAGAGTTCTTTGACGCACAGGCTATCCTATCGGCAGAGAGGTATTTTTCGCAATTCAATCCAATCACTTTTAAATGTATATATTTACACTGCATTTAAATTACGCAATACCCATAACCTTCGTGACGAACAGTGCCAAAGTAGGATGCAGTTTTTTTTTTTGAATTTTTAAATAGATACGACGAAAATAATAATTTTAAAAAATGTATTTCATGGACCTATGAAAGCTCTTTCACTACAAGAAAGTGCTGGAATAGACAAAATACGCTATACACTGGTATATAAATAATCCTAGAAAAATACATAGTAGTGTATTGTTAGATACACATATTTTGATGAATTGGTAAACAATTTATTACAAGTCGACAATTTGGAAAGTGTATTTTGGTCATTTCTTGAAATGAATATTAAGGCATCTTTAAGATGCAGATATACTGAATAAAATAATATTACTCGACAGGACTTTTGGTTGCTCATGGAACTTATGAAGCAACTATGAAAAAAAATTGATGTTTTTATTTTAATACCTACATATTTTAACCTCATTGCAAGGTGTTAAACCTTTTAAAGAGATAAAAAGTTGTATTTTTAAATAAAAATACAATAATGATTTTAATTTAGTTAGGAATAAGTTATCAATTACAGATAAAAGTGTAAAGTTCCAAGAAATCTGGGTAACGGTTATTAGAATTAGAAAGATTGCAATATTTTATACAAAGTTGACACTCTGTAACTTGACAACTATGTATTTCCAGATCCATGTTCATATGAAAAAGTTTTCTTATTTTTTCAAGAATCATTCGAACGTTATTTTCGGGCACCCTGTATATAATTTATAGAAGATAGTACTTGTAAATATATCAACACAACTAACATGAAAGCAACATGGTGCGCTCAAAAATATTCTAAATTTGGAATATGGAAGGAAATGGAGGAACGATTTGGTCCGCCTGACCAACAGTCCAAGCTTGACAGTAATTAATGAATTTCTACACTGGCAATCAGTTAGGAGAAAATCCGGTGTTAAAGACCAAAATCTTAAAGTTTACGAAAAATGTAATAGTATAGTATTATTACTTTTATTTTATTATTACTTTTTCATAAAGCAACATCTATAAAATTTTACATTTCTAAGGTGAAACAACTATAAACCAACCAAAACTATCGTACTGCTATTGCAGGTGTTCAACACATCTTGAAAAATTATCCGTTTATTGCTGGACCTGTAGATGTTGTATTTGTCATCAATGTGCGTTGTGGGGTGGCACACACTCTGGACACACATTTAAACCGTTAGACGAGGTCTATGAACAGCACGTTACCCAAATTAAAGATGAAGTGGCGCAGTTGCGCCGTCGTTTGATGGAACTTATAAGTATCGTTCAAGAAGTGGCAAGTTTCCAACTGGCGCCAAGACACACATCAGTCAATAATACATCAATTTTAGGAGAGAAATGTTGAATCTGTTAGATCTGCCAAGGATGAGAGGGTCAGAGAAATCAGAAATGCCGTCGAACTTATGATTGCAAGATTGGATTCTCAACTCAAAACCAAACTGTTAACACTAATGGGACAGAAAGACACACTTACGCAGGTAGATAACAGATTTAGTTTGTTTCAAATTGTACCTTTGCTATATGCACATTTTTTTTTGTTTTTATACCTGCTGTGGATTTGGCCCCGGTCAATTTTACTTGTGTCAATTAACCGAAATAATTTTTAAAATACACTGAAATTTATATCTATTTATTTATATTGTGCGTTATCGCGCCGTCACGTCATTCTGAGAACTAGATAGAGTCCGTATTTTTATTGGGATTCTCCGACTCATTAACTATCATATTCGAGTATTCCTTATAGGTCAATTGGACATTACAGAGGTATAATAATTTATTATAAAATATATATTATTAAATATTAATAGATAACACTCTACAATTGCAAGATGTTATTTAAAACATTTTGACCAGTCAATTAAGATGTGGTCAACACTACTGATATGTGTATAGATGATCAAATTATTAAAACCAAAACTACGTAAAACTAACAATCTCAATAAATTATCTGATACAAATACGATCTTTTTCAAACACCCAATATCCTTAATATTTCAGATTTTTGAAACAACAGTAATTTGGTATAACAATATATATTATAAGAAGATAATAAAAAAGGCAGTCTAAAACTGCCTATGAGGTGTTGAATAAAAAAATTAAAGTCTATGATGGTTTAAGAACAGCCAAATATTGTAAGGGAAGATCTTCTGCAAAAGAGAAAAATTTATAATGAGAACGTGTTTGTACAATTTTTGTATATTAAAAAAAAAAACGAAAAATGAAGGTTATCTATATTATCTTCCGCCAATTTACAGCATACCTTTAGTGCCTTAACAGAATCTCTTCAGACTCGTGGATACGCAACTTGTCTCTGATTTAAGTTACCCTATGTCTGATACCATTTTGAAACACCCCGTCACATTTTATATTTTAACCATTCAGATGGAAATATTGTAAAATTTGTACTAATTTCTTGATTAAATCAATTTTTTTAAATTAAAAAGCTGTTTGTCTTAGCCTGCACTTCTCATAACTTACCACTTGATACACGTGCTGTGTTTTGCCACATAGTCATAATCGAAGATAAAAAGAAGTAGATTGTTGAAGAAGAAACTTTTTGAATTGAGAAAATGTCGTTTTGATAATTGATAATATTCTGTATCCTGTCGCCTCTTTCAAAAAGTTCGGGTCATTAACATTAACTTCTTAACAACTAAGATATTTATATACAAATCTTATTTACTAAGCCAATCTAAACGAGCAATTTTCTATTAATGATATAGCCGATTTTGTGCTATGGAATAATTTTATATTATCTTAAATGTGGTTTACAATAGAATCCTTAAAGCCTTCAAATAAAATCTTCTCTATAGGGAAAAACTTAACGACATTCGCTTGCACGTTTATACAATTTATTGCTATATTTATTAGTAACTTTAAAACTCAACTCTAGAACAGTAATGACCAGACAATTATAGATACCCACTCCTAGAAGTGAATTTTATAAGAATAAATTTATATTTGAAAATCGACAACTTTATTATGCTTTGTTTTGAAGTAGGAAATCAGTGTTACGCCGAGGTAAAAATTATAATAAATAATTAATAATTAATTGTTTGAGATCTATTGCAATAAAGACGAGCCTTTTTTTTATGAGTGTGAAAATTTTTTTATTTTGATTTCTAGGAAACTGAACAATTGGAACATTTACTTCACGAAATTGAGCATCAATTACACGCTTGTACCCGGTCCGAGTTGATCTCAAAAAGTTCGGAATTGTCTAGAATGATTCACAATATCCGAAGGAAACCAATGACTAGTTTCGTAACAGCACCTGTACCAGCGGACTTTCATAGGTAAAAATAGTGGAACGTCCGGTATCGGTGGAATTCGAACCCACAGTCTCCAGTTTCGAGACTCGCGCCTTAACCACTAGGCTACCGAGGTTGCGTAGATATTAAGGGCTAATTGATTGGCAGCGAGTTTTAAAATAACTCGCGCATGCGCATATTGATTGTCCTTAATCAATATGTGAAATGTTTATTTCAAAAGTGTCTCTATCTCTATCTCTTAATTTGCTTAACCTTTTTGCTCCTTAAGGACCTAAATTGGCTTGATATGCTAATTTTCTTTCTTTAACAAAATTGTTAAATGTGGCACGCCGTCATATTTGATGTCAGATACATAAACATTGGATGAAAGGTTTTAAATGATTGGATTGAAAAATTTAGTTTGAGTATATGTAAAAAATCAAAATTTCCTGGTTTTGGTTTTGATTATTTGGTTAGTTGTGTTTCTTGAATGTTGTACCTGTTTGTCTGATAACATTTTATGACATGATACACATTTTAGCCTGTAGACTCTAGATTTGTAAGTTTTTTGTGACTTGATTTTATTGTTTGTTAAGTTCTTTCCAGCAAATAAGCCATTGATTCCTTAGAACATAGTTCAAAAACCAATTTTTTAAATCATGCCTCTTAAAAAAATCATCTGAAAATGACAGGTAGTTCTTTTGTAACGGTTTAACTATTAACAAGATTCTTAAAAAATATTTAGAATCTCACACGGCTGTCAAATCAATTTTTTTTATCAAAAATTCTTTGGAAATAGTCAACAACGTTAAAGACATTAAAATTAAAATTCCCCTAATGCTATTGTAGTTTGTTTTTGACGTCCTAAGTCTATTTCCGAGTATTCGGATTTAATAAGTATGTAATATTTAAATAAATTTAAATATATATATTTAATAGATAGTTTAATAGTCGGTTTAGACTTCGTAATGTTCTGTATTCTGATAAAGGCCTGGTGTTGCTCATGATTTTTGGTTTAATTTTGTAATGACGTGCGATCGTGTGAATACACATTAAATTTATATTGTTTTATATAGGATTTGCTACTAATTTAGTACATATAGTATCATTATAAATTTTATTATTGCAATGTTATATTTTCAGCGAAATTGTCCCAGCATACAGCATTAGCACCTTTGTTATGCACAACTTTACGCAGCTACAGAGAAAGGCTGATCCCGTTTATTCAACGCCACTTCATTGCAATGGTCTGTGTTGGCGACTGAAAGTTTATCCGGACGGTAATGGTGTGGTACGAGGAAACTATTTGTCTGTGTTTCTGGAATTAAGTGCAGGTTATCCTGAACCTTCCAAGTAAGTTGGTTGCCATTTTTCCAATTGAAATTCTTTGATTCAAAATACTTGTATTAAAATGAAACTTTATAAAATAAAATATTGTCAAAATTTTCTGTATTATGAATATATTATGATAATGTCTTCCTTTGGATCTATGAAGTAGTAAACCCGATTTGGAATCGCAACCGCCTGATAGAAAAGTGAGTCAAATTTACTGATTTATATAAATGGGAGAATAGAATGTTCCCGTTTCATTACTTTATATATAATTCTTACTGAAATCATTATCCAGAAAAAGGTGCACACAAGTTGATACACTTAGAAATTTGAAATATTTAGGTCTCTTGTATCGTTTCAAAGAAATTTCTTTTTCTTTTTCCAGACAACAGCAGTATTGATGTTTTCAGTACTTTTATTTCAAAAAAGACTTAAATACGCACATAATTATTCAATTAATAGTACTCAGTTTTAGAAGAAGTAACAATAAACTATACATCAACTCCCTACGACCGACCCGATGATATGACTTTATTTTGCCCATCAAATGTCTGCTGGCCTCTTTCTTAAGTCGAAATAACTATACACATGTTTCATTTGGTCTTTCAATAGGATTACTAAAATCCCTAATGTACCGATTTTGCAATGTCTTTGTTTTTCAAACCAAAAATTGCAGTTTCTCCGCAATTTGTAATGCAATGAACACGTTTTGACTCAAATGATACGGAATGATCAATATTGTGGGTCGATAAACATACTATAAATGTGGTTGCTAAGTTAACAATAACATTAGAAATCTCTTCTTAACTCGAAGCGCAATCGCTACGATTACCTTGATGAGTTATTAGTTATTTATAAACCAAAATCAGAAAATGTGGAATAGGTATCCAAAATAAAAAAATCTTTTGTGAGATAGATAGGTTACTGCAATCATAGGCAGCACAAGAATTTACCATTGTCAAAAATGTTTTTCAATTAACATCAGTGTGAAATTATTAATCAAAAAAATTATTTCAAAAAGTACCCCCTGGCCAACGAATTCACCATCCTCATAAAACTCAAACAGAACAAGTATTTTAAATATTTAATAGTAGTTACCTGTGTAATAGAGAACAGAATCCCCATTATTTCCCGTCTCCCTCTAAATAAAATTTGTCGTTATTTATTTCAGATACGAATATAGGGTGGAAATGGTGCATCAGACAAGCCGAGATTCTTCAAAAAATATTGTAAGGGAGTTTGCATCTGATTTTGAAGTTGGGGAATGTTGGGGCTACAACCGATTTTTCAGACTTGATTTACTCGCCAGTGAGGGTTACCTTAATGTGGCTTTGGATACATTGGTGCTGAGGTCAGTTGATTGTATTAATATCTTCAACTTAGTTTGTAGGTGAATCTATCAATACTTTTTTTCTTTAAAACAATGACACTAAAAGATTAAACTTCATGAACGGTCTGGCATAACCAAACTTTTAATCATCCAAGGAGGTTTTGTCTCATGCAATGCTTAAAATTTCCAATACTTCATTATTTTTATAACAAAACAATAATGGTCGCAGAAATCTCTTAAAATCGCAACAAAAAATCCAAAAATAAATCGTGGTTATAAGTATTTTGGAATATAATTGTTTAATGTGCTACCCGATTGGACTAAGAACCTGGCTGGACCAATATCCAAACAATAGTTTTTGTCACATGGAATAGGCACACGGATGTACATTTTTTGTTCTGCGTTCGTTTGTTATTAAATTAAGAACATTTTATTACCCTAAAACTACAGTTTTTTGTCTTGACCATGCCCTGTTGACGTGCGAAAATAAAATATCTATCTATCATTCTACTGCTTGAAAGAACAAAATTGTGTTAGATTTTAACAAAGATCAAATTTTGTATTGTAAAAACGGGTTTTGATGTATATGTAATTAATTACACTTAAGAAGAAAAAAGAAGAACCTTGCATCAAAAAATTACGTCTCATATGGCGTTGTTAACCCTGTCCTATAAGTATTGCTTCTACGGTACCTATTCCAATATTTCTACAGGTTTCAAGTTCGTGCTCCAACTTTTTATCAAAGGTGTCGCGATCAGCAGTGGTATATAAACCAGCTTCAGACCGTTCAGAACCAATATATTTCCCAAATAACCGAATCCAAAGAGGTTCGTATTTTATTTTGTGTATCTGCATATCGGATGGATTTTACAGCCTGTGGTGTTTTAATAGAGGCTTGCGGCAGAATTGTCAAGAAGCGCAGTAGCGGCATCGTTAGGTTGCAATCCGCAAAACGACTTCCAAAATATCGCTTTGGTGAACAGCGTCTTCAATCTGCAACCTTTACCCGTCAACACTACTAACGAAATAGTATTAGATAACCACATAATTTCATCTGTACCGACGACGTCCCAAAGTAACGTAGCCGAAAAATCGTACTCCTCGGAACTAGCTAACCTGCAAAGAAAATTAAATTTATCAGAGTGCAATGCAAGGTATGAAGGTACCAAAAAGTTGGTATCCGTTATTAATTAATAAAACTTTAGTGCCGTTCAGACCGCCAAGGTGTCAACGGGCGAGTGCGCCTGTCTGTCAAAATCACAAACGAACGAGCCAGTTAGTAGCGCATCGACGTCCGTGTCGTCCATTCAGACTAACGTCATCAGTAAAAAGTCAAACGAGACTTCTTGTAGCGACACTAGTCGGGAGCATCATCAACTGCTGGGTCTTGGTGTATCACTCAGTTCTCCCAACTTGCTCAACTCCGCAGTTTCATTGATGTTGAGCAGCAGCAGCAGCGAAAGCGTAAGTTCGACATTATTTATTGAGTAATTAAAATTCAAAAAAAAGAAATTTAAAGAAATACATGGGAAAATGGACTTCATCCCAAAAATTTTAGTACATTACAGTGCTGTTTTATTTAATCCCCGATTTATATTAAGTGTCTTTCCCAGGACCAGTTGGGATGATGACGTAGCGTTCATACCATCTTATAGGTGGTCGAGGTTTATTTGGTTTTTCCACTCTTGCAATTTTAAGTAACTGATCATTTGTCATTCTGTCTGCGTGGTTCCTCCAATTTTTTATCCATCTTCTTGATCCACTTCTTTACCAGTCAAATAACGTATATCCTGTTAGTGATCTTAGTTGTCGTGAGTCGTCTAACCTTTACATCCCGATCCAAATTTTCAGCAATCTAACCCTCAAGATTCTTGAATTTAGCTAATTGTAGTATCATTTCGTTATTTACTCTTAAGTAACCATAATTTTAGTCTTATAAACATGGATGTTCAGTTGTAACATCTCTCCGTTTATGTTAACACCTTACTCGCTGTCACTTAAAGCTTGGGAGTAGATCTCTTCAGAATATATGTTCAAACAAAGCGAGGACAGAATGCAATCTTGTCTTATCGCTTTTTTAATTGCTACCCGCATCGTTGTTCTCCATTCCGTTCTGACAGTAGCTATTTTATTCCAATGATTTTTATATCGTTCAAGTCTAGGTCGTTTCTCTCTGTCGAACGTTTTCTCATAATCCTCGACATTTTTGTAATAGAATTATAAGGTTACATATCGCATCTCGTGCACTCATGTCTTTTCCAAGAGCAAATGTTTCGTCCTCCATATCCGGTTCATATTTTCAGTATATTCGAAGCTGAATTATTTTTAGGCATATTTTAAGTAAATGATAAATGAGGCTGATGAGTCTCGAAGTATTGCATCGTTTTAGATTTAGTTTTAGGGACGAAAACAGTCGTTAGCCAATCTTTTGGAATTTTACCTGTTCTATGGATGGAGTTAAAAACTTTGGTGAAAGTTTCCAAGTTACTGTCGCTTACAAGTTATTATTTCCGTATCTAATCAGAGCCAGGAGCTATACCGTCATTAGTTCTAATACTGATTTAAAAATTTGGTGTGAGGAGTTCTTGCATTGCACAACAGTCTTTCTATATAAATACAAATACACCCAAGAGTTTTTTAAGCAACGTACGTTATTCACTATAATATGTTAAAATTCATAAAGGGCAGTCATAAGTAGTACTTAAAAACCTGACCTTACAATCAAATAGAAAAAAACATGGGATAAGAGAATAAAACTTAACAAGATTGCTTTCGATTGCTTTTTCTATCATGCTCCTGTGGATATGTGATAGACGAAAACCGTAAATACAAAAATTGTAGCTCTTGATGCTGCCTACAATATTGTTTAAATCAATTCGCCGTATTTTTTATGAATTTTGATTTACGCCTAATAATTTACTCTGGAAAAGTACAATCTTTTAGATTTTTGTCGATAATTGAAAAACTATATATATAATCGAAAAAATGACCCGGATCTTTTATTTTTTCTGGTTCTAAAATTTTGCCGATCGGGTGAATAATTTTTGAGAAAGTCCATGTTTTTCTGGAAGACGTCTTTAAACATTTTTTTTTATAAAAATAAACAAGATCCAGTAATTGTTTGGGTTAACAAATATTTCTGTTATGCTTCAAAGCTTCTTCTTGATGATGAGCTCGCTTTTGGTTAGACGGCCGCCCAAATAGGTTTCCTAATGGAAGGCGCACCAAATATGCCTCTGGTTCTTGATGTCTATACCATTCTGTAGTCACATGTCTGATAAAGGGCAAATGATAAATGTAAGGACTACAAAAAAGACATACTTTTCGCTTTGCGGCGACCAATGCATTAGTACACAGGGGAACAAGCCGTGGGTAGTAGATAAACTATGTAACTAAAGTTGACAGTTGAACATTAACTGAATCTTTATGTCATCTTTTTCAAGAGTTTCTAATAGTGTGTTTAATGTTTTGGATGGTGGGGTTCTTGATAGCTCTTGAATGTTTATGAGACTATGGCAATTTTGCGACTTTGTGGCATAGGCTCTCTGACATTGTTGCTCCCTCATTACACACCCAAAATATATATGGTTTAAATTTCTTTTGCTTGGAACTTGTTCAGTAATAATTGATTTTTCTATAAATGGTACATTTTTGTTTAATAAATAGGCTAAGTCACCATAACCATCGTCCTGATCTTGATGAATAACTGAGTACAACTTCATGCGGAATTTGTCTTATCTCCGTAAATGCGTTTCATTTAAAAGAATTACATCTGCTTGATGTTGGGAAATAAGATTTTGCAGATCTGCTATTTTTTTTAACCATTAATGTTCCAGCTCACGATATTGATTTGTATAATATATCAATATAATCAATAATTGACTTACTTGCATGGCCCCGAGTGGGCGTTCTATCTGTTGACGTCTATTATCTCTTAGAGACTTCTTGTCAACAGGCGGCGAATGTATGACTTCTTGCTTCCTTTTGGGGAGTTTGGTCATTGTTGTATAAGAATGTTTCCAAATAGTCGTATTCTGATTTGCCCTCTCTTGACGTTCTTGCCTATTTATAAAATTGTGTTTCCCTTTCATTCTTATTGTAAGTCATGCTGCTTGAAGAGTTCTGTTTAAGTGATTCCCCTTGTTTTGGGAATTTGGCTCTCGCTCCATAAAAAAGTATATTTTCAAAGGAGATAATTTGCATGATTTTTCTTTATTTTGAACATTCGACGCAGTTTCTGGATAGCAAGCTGTGACCTTCCTCACAGGGCGCACATGTTATTATTTTCAAGTCACATTCATTTTCCGAGTATTCTTCCTGACATTTTGAGCATCTTTTCTTGCCTCTAAATGTTTACATCTTAAATAATTCTTGCACTGTAGAACCTGACCTATGTATATGTCAACTTTTGCTTTGTGATATTCGACATCCATGGCTTAAGGTATCCTTTTCCCTTGGAATGTTTAAACTAATGTCTCTGTTGGAATGTATTCTGTTGCGTTCCCATTTGTCACCCTTCCCATTCTTCTGACTGATAATATTTCTGCGTCTGCTTTAGCTACTTGGATTAAGTCTTCTATAAACTCGTTTGCAGCCTTGCTGGTTAAAAACTCAATACCTAGCCTATTTCGCCCTTTCCTTGTTATTTTCAATATTCCTGCTACATTAGTCTTCCTTAATTCCCTCCCAAGTCGAATGGGGTGTATGGATGCGACAGTTCCAGATGTGCCCTCAACAAGCACACTAAAAGGTCCCGTGTCTGTGTATTTATAATGTTCTGTTTTAACTCTGTTATAAATGTGAGTAGAATCATGGGGGAAGGCTGTCTCTCCTCCCCGCTCTATGAACTCATATAAAAGCCTACACTAAATTAGCAAGGGTGAAAGCATACGCATGCACATCGGACGGGCAAAGCGGTAACGAGGGAAAAGCAAGCCCACAACAAGACTAACTTGAAGTACTCCGCCTCAGATGGTGCTTGGGTCTTAAATCAACAATCTAAAAATGAAATCACCGCGGATTACACGACTTAATCGGTGAATTATCTATAATCTTTGGGAGCACTCAAACAAACACGCTGTTACTTTTGGCGCCAACCATAGGCTCTCACTTAAAAAGTTGTTACCAGATAATTTTACTGTCACTTCGAAGCGGGTTAAAAAATGATTTAAAAACAAACAAAAAAAAATTCTGTATATTAAGTCGCGACAACGATTATTTTCGCACATTTCAAAAGTTAGTTTATTCTAACTGTAACTGTAATAATTTTATAAACACCTGACAAAAAAAGCAATTTTTAAAATTATTTATTATTATTGTTGCTATTATAATTGTTTCAATATAATTTCTCTTTTAACGTTTAACAATTACTAGGCTTGGTCCACTTTAATAAAAAAATTATAAAAAATGTTTAAAGACGATATCTATGCCCTCAAAAATTCGGAAATTAAAAATTTGTACATAAAGTAGAAACGAGAAACGAAGACAGTCAGTCTTCTTACGTCATTTAGAATGGATAAAAACAAATATTTTTTTTGACTGGACCTTGTAGTCAAAGTAAAAAGCTCTCGATAGCAACAGTGGGCTATTGAATATTTATTATACTTTGTTAACACAAAATCATTTTGTACTTGATGTCACCTAATAAGAGTGTTTTTTTCCTCTCGCCCAGATATCCGTAAAACGCTTTTTCCAAATGTAGGCAGCCAGTATCTCAAAAACTAGATATAGAAACTTTAAAATAAAATTGACGTTTAAAAAAAACTAGTACTCTAACAAGTAGCTCATACCAAATAATATTTTAGCCATGTTATCAAGCTCGGTCGATACAGCGTTGCCGCCATTTACTTCTTTTGCTGATTTTATATTGTTAAACATGTAAACCCTTTTTACTTACATTATAAATAATGTTTCATAGCTTGATTGTATAGATATTGATTACCAACTCGATTTTGTTTGCTCATTTGTCAATCATATTAAAAAAACCAAAAACATAACAGTAACGTTCACTACCTCTAAATATTAATAATTAAATATTATGAATATTTAAATACATGGAAATTATTTTACGAGGGTTGAAAAGTTTCCTACCTAACAATGATACAAGACATTTGTTCTCCTTTTTTTATATTTCTACATAGTCTCCTTGTAACTCTATGTACTTCTCCCAGCAAAGCTCCCATCTCTCTAACCCGTCCAAATGGTACCCAGCAGTTTTCTCCGCAAAATAATTGTTCACGAATGTGATTGCCTCCTCATTTGACGAAGATATTTGTCCTCCCAGCGCAGTTTTCACATGGGGTGACACAAAGAATCGGCTTGTGGCTAGATCTGGTGAGTAAGGCTGATAGTCAAGCAGTTCAAGCCGTAACCGCTGAGGTATGAGACGGTGCGTTGTCTTGGTGAGGTTTTTTTTTGCAAACGTGGCCGTTTTTTTTTGCAATTTCTGTGAGCTTTTTGAGTAATGATGCGTAGTATGCTTCTGTAATGGTTTTTCTTTTTTGAAGCCAATCGATTAAGATGACTCCATGGTTATCCCAAAAAGCACCGTCGCCATCACTTTCCCAGCCGAAAAAACAGTTTTTGCTTTTTTCGGAGTCAGTTACCCCTTCGCAGTCCACTGTTTTGACTATATTTTTAATTCGGGCGTATAATATTGTATGCAAGTTTCATCTACATTAATTAATCAGCACCAAAACTCGGATTTATTGCGCGTAAACTACGCTAACAGAGTGTTGGAGAGGTTCATTCAAACACGTTTTTGGTCTAATATGAGTAAATGCAGTACCCATCGCGCGGACAGCTTTCTCAGGCTCAAATAATAATTTAAAATGTGACAAACACCTTTTTCGGACATTTTCATAACCTCTACGATCTCACCTACCTTAATTCGACGGTCGTCTAACACCATTTTGGACGTCCCGAACGTTCATCATCTCCTAAGCTCTTACGACCACGTTTAAATTCAGCTGCCTCAAATTTCACTGTGGTAAATGACGATGCAGAGTCCCCATACACAGAGTCCAACTCGACTTTAATTTGCATAGGCGTATTGTTTTTTGAAAACAAATATCTTATGACAGCTCTATACTCAGGTAAATAACTAGAGGTGCACAATTAGGATCACTAGGTTTTAGTAACTAGTGCCACCATCTTTTCAAGTGACCCTTGTATTTACAATTCTGAGTAAATGAAATTACTAGAATCCCTAGTCTTCGTCAACATTAATAATTAATTTACTGCCTGCCATTACTTGTTCCCTGTTAAACCACTCGTCAATCATTCTGTCTATATGTGTGATGTGGAACTTTTCCACATTTTATTGGCAACAGTTACCAGTACCTCTTGCCAGATTTTTAACCAAGCATCTTGAGTATGTCCATCTCTGCCACTGTGTGGGTTTTAATAGTTTTTTGTAATTCCCCAAATAAGTTCAATCGGGTACTTCAATCAAGTACAGTCATATGAGGTCCGACTTTTTCATATTTTACATTTTGCATAGCAAGCTGTCAGTCCCGCAATGAATATTTCCATGATTTATCGATAATGAAGTGTTAAAAGCCTTTAGCCCTTTTTTTTTAATGTTGACCTATGAGCACTCCTATTTTTGACCACCCTTCTTATCCTCTGAATAACTTAGAGGTTTGTTCCAAAGAAATGTGAGCTCTTTTTTTTCAACCATTAACAGTCCCAAAAAGTTACTGTAAAATACTTTTTTTTACAAGATATTCTGAGGTTGTCCCACAAACCATAATTTTTTGGACTCAGAATTTTTACTTGCTTAAAGTATTGGTACTATTGACTTTCACGTAGAATTAATTGTTCTTCATTTTATCTTTTGAGTTTATCTTCAAATATAACGTTAGTGATTGGTACACAAGATGTTAATGCCTTTTATATATATAATTTTTGTGTTATTGGGTCTATAAATTTCTTCTAGGATCTTAGCGAACCAGAGCCTCTTATCGAAGGGTTTGAACCTGGAGACAATACTCCTGCTTGTACTGGCGATAATTCTAATGACGAAAATGATGTTGACGTTGAAACAATGTCTGGTAAGTAATTTAAGGCACAAGGCGACTTTCTTTCTCTGTTATACTACTAGTTCGTTTGCTTTTAAACTGCCTTTTAATCTTTGGAACTTATGAAAAAAAAAATTGTTTTCTACTTGAGATTTTAAGTCTTTTATTCTCTTTTCTGTGTGCCACTATAAGTATTGTTTTATTATTATTCCAACATTTCGCGGATCTTCGTATTTGTGTGTGATCCAAGGATAATCTTTTAATTAATGTTTTTCATGTTATGTATGCAATTTTACCTTTTGGTAATCTGAATCTTTGACAGCATTAATTCTTCACTGTTTACGTCATACCTAATGACAAAGGCTACTTAAACCAAACACATTGTGATGACACTGACGCAGGAATTGTATTTAGGTCATGGAGACTGTGGAAATGTCTCGTGTGATTCATACGAATGTGAAAATCCCGAACCCGGTAATCAAGTTGCTGAAAAAGATGACCAGCCTGCAGGTCCACTTGAAAATATGTCCATGCATGGTTGAACGAATATCAGTACAATTTTTATCAAACCTTTGTATACAACTTTTTTATATAAAATATATATATTACATTATCCAATAATTACCATTTCTTCAAAATTTTTCTGAAAGTTCTAGGATTGATGATGACTGGAATATTAATTTCCATTCTAAATTCTAAGATTATGTATTTAAAATATAAGATTATGGCCAGTGCTTCAAATTCTGTTCTCGTCATTATTTCTCTGGTGATACAAATTGAGGCAAAATTGTGCCTTGTTGATCCTGACAGTATTCCATATAAAAATTGCGCATTTAATTACCTTTGGTACTTTGAAAAATATAACGAAACAGTTTTGAAAAGTTTGCCAATTCAACTTCTTAAAATTCATCTTTCTAAATGGCCTTCATTATTTTTTAAAGCTATTTGTATAGTTTTTCCTGAACATAATAATGGGAAAAGACAGAGTGTCTCACGATTGATGTCACGTTATGCGAAAACGTGACAATCTAAAATATTTTCGCAATCACAATATTGCAGTTTTCGAGATTTAATTACTTTCTATTATTTTATGCCAATTGAAAGTTTTTTTCGCTGAAGTTCTAAAACATTTACAAAATTTTCGCTGAATTATAAAGGTGCGTGGTAAGTCAATAAGTCTCCCAACTAAAATTTTTCGCAGTTAAAGCTTTTATTAAAAGGTGAATGATATTTATTAAGCAACGTAAAAACGTTGCTTTATAAAAGCCTTGGCTTAACTTCAGGTTTTTTAGAAATGATTTTATATCGTTCATAAAAAGCTTGTTATTTTCTCGAAACCGATGAAAGTATCTACGCTTGTCTCACTTGATACTGAAAATATATTTTAAGTAGGTAGCGAGTAAAAAACCTAACCAAAACGTAAGCCTAGTTCCTAGTTGTTCCATAAACCGTAGAACACACTGCATATATCGCGTGTCCGTTTTGAAATGAGATAACTGACTAGATATTACAAGGCAATACCAATTACTTAAAATTTACACTTACCATCACCAGACACAATTTCCTAATTTCACGTGGTAAACCACACCCTATACCCATTTCAGAATATGGCAACCTAAAGCCATTTGAATGTTATACCAACAAAGCCAACACATTGTTTCTATTAAATTAAATATTTAGCATTTTTATCTATCAAGTTTGCACTTGTTCACGTTATTTTCAAAAATATGTATCTACATGTATAGCACACTAACCCAAAAAGATGTGGTCCAATTGTCTGATGATCCTACAACTTAATTCTGTACATATAAAATCTACAGTGTGGTCCACGTAAAATGACCCACATCCGTTCTGAGAATTGGTAAGATCTTAAAAAAAAAGTTTACCACAAAATGTCCCTGTATTATGAATAAATAATTAAATAGTCCTTATTGGCCAAAATAGAGAAAACGCAGATTTAAAAAAGAAAAGAAAAAAACATTAATACTGGCAGAAAAATACATAAAATTCATACAATACAAAAGAAAAAGGGCGAAGGTTTCCCTCTCTTCATCAAGGTTAAATATATGATATGTATATGTATACAGAGACTTTTTTCTTCATTTTTTGACATAAACGGAACCTAGCATAGCGAGTGTGTTTATTTTCAGATCTTCTGGATCCTCCACCGGTTGCTTATAAATTAAACTTGATGACGTTTCGCCAATCATTCTGTTGGCTTCTTTAGAGCTTCACTGAAATTAGTTCGCATTCTAATCTGTACCTGCTTGTATATTGTTTTAGTGGTGCGGATCCAAAGACCTCAGTCGCGGTTAAGATTCTTTCTTGAAAAATTAAAGTATTTTAAATATTTTTTTGAATTCTCTATATGCCAAATAAAAAATAGAAGTTGAAGTACTGCTCTATCTGTGTAAAGCAAATTTTTAAGTGAGCAATATTCTACAGTGTTACCACGTTTCGCATTTTGTAAATTTACTCGATTTTTTAAATGGAATGGAATGAGTAATACTTAGGTAATAGGTAAATTAACCAAAACTAAATTAAATTTTACCCTAAAACCGTAAGAGATAAAAGAAAATGCCACTGCCTAATTTATTTAAAATTAATTGTCACGTTAAGTCCGTATTGTTTGTTTTTGCGAAATTATCGTACTTACTAAGATCTTCTTAGGTCTTTAATCGCTGTATTAAAATTGAAATGTTTAAAAAAATGTTTTTGCGATGACAGCCTTCGTTTGTGTCAAAAAACGAAAAACGCCTCTGAATACGAAATGTGGCGTCATAGACCTCCGATATCATATATCGTTGAACAGACTCTCCAAATGAGTATCAATATATTTTCCATTTAAACACCTCGTATACATAAAAACCATATAATTAAAAAGTTAAGGTAAATAAAAGAAATCTTTATATTAAACTTTTTTTTCTAGATCTTCTCAGATCATATATTTTACGTGAATCGCGCTGTACAGGGTGGTCCGTTTATTTCGGGATGAAACCATATCTCAGAATCTTTAAATACTAAAAAACGTTAAGACAAAAGTTGTTGGTATTCACTTAGACGTTTAAAATATTATATTGTTATACATACAAGGTGTATTTTCATGTACAAGAAAACACTTGCTTATTCGAAATAACCTTGTATATTAAGATATTTTTTTATTCTATGGAACTTTCTAGCCATTTTATATGTAATGATCTATACCTACGTTTATCTGTTTCTGACATTTTTAATTTTTTCAAGAGTGACATTTGCAGGTTTAAATATGTACATGGATTTCTGCGACTGAAAGCCTTTGTTATGTATTTGGGGTTGATTTTTTCATAGGTAAATACAGAGGGATTAAAAAGCACCATTAATCATTTAAATGAACAAATCGTAAAAAGTCTTATTTTTTAAAATGTTATAAGTTATCGTATTTCCCATTAATTAAAGGGTGAATAAGGTTTCCTATTTCAAAAAGTGGTAGATTTCGAATACAAAAAAATGGTCTCACGTCTATCAAATGTTTTTCTTAAAAAAAAAACTAAATAATGGAGAAAATACTAATAGTAAATTAAAAAGTCAAAAAAGAATGACAATTGCAATTTTTAATTTATACCGCTAAAGTAGATCCCCTTTCATAAGGAAATCAACCTCGAATATATATCAAAAACTTTCTGTCCCTCAAATCGATATATTTAGACAAGCAAAGGTCACTTTTGACATATATTTCAAAATATGTCCGAATCAGTAAGACTTATTGCGATATAGGTTATAAAAGAATATGTCTAGAAATTTCAGAGTAATTCAAAATTGTCTTCATATACAGTGTGTTCCATTTAAAATAAGAAAGTTATTTGTCAACGAATATAGCAAAATATTTTAAAAGTTTAAGTGAATCCAAACAACTTTTGTTTTTAAGTTTTTTCTGAGATAAGGCGATTAACCCATATTATCCCAAGCATAAAAAAATAAAAAAATACTTTTTTGCTCAGAAATTATTTATTTTGTTGCACTTAAGAATACATTACATGTGTCAAAAAAAAAACTCGTATCATACAAAAAAATATTGCTGCGTAAACGAACCACTGGGGAAACGATTAAATAATGTTTTGGGGAACATAAGATGTAACATATAATTTATACATAAATATACAAAAGAAAGTTCAAATTCGACAGAAAACAGCTAAAAGTTTTCCAAATAGAACCTGGTTTGATACAAAAAAACGCATAATATTTTATGGTACTTGAGCACACCACTGGTAACAACCGGTTTCATTTTTGATATTTTACAAAGCATGAAGTATGTAAATGCACATTACACTTATTACAAACGTAAATTGTGTGGCTGTGGCAGATTCTACATCTCCTTTGGGTTTTATTAGCTTGAACAATCATGAGGTGACCTTGATTATCATAACGCACTTCATCTATTGCCGGTGCAAAATTTCTTTGAGTAATTCTTTTATCAGTTTTTAAAAGTCGCAAAGCAATGTAATATTTAAAATCAAATCAATCACTTCGTCATCAAAAAACATAAAAAATATTTCAAGCTGAGTTTTTCCAGAAAGCCTATTTTTTAGTTCCTCACATGATCTAAATTCATCGGATATAGGTGTGTAAGTGTACTCAAACTGACTTTTCATCCATTTGACAGTAGAAGCAAGCCTGTCGTTTGCAGAAAGCATACGTCTTCTTTGGAATTCCAGGTTTTCATCATCTGATGAGTCCCATTCAGGTTCAGTAGTTGATGAACAGTCCTGTAGTTGAAGGACAGCTGTATTATTCGGTGTATGTAACTCGAAAGTTCCAACTATATCAGTTGGTTCCCCAAACTCTTGTAGATTTATATTATCGTGCATATCTTCTTCGTCAGTCAAGGTATCCACGTCGGATGGAATATAGATCGCGTCAATAGGTTCTATAAATATTTTTTCACGTTATTTTTAGCATGAATTTACAAGGAATGGAATGCTACAATACATAAGAATAAGTAAATCCAAATAATACATACGACTTTCGTTGTTATTGTCCTCATCCATCACGATCTCCTCCATAGCCGCCTCTAATTCCTTTTGAGTCAAATACCTCGGGACTGTAACGTTCACTGCACAAGGCACAAACTAATACTAAAGAACAAAAATGGCAATACAAATCCAAAAAAATTTTTTTTTTGCAATTTCGGATTTACTTGAAAATATGATACAAATTTATGTACCGCTTTTGTCAATTTTTGAAGTCATATATAAGATCTTTCCTTTACACATTAGCGATTTCTACGGTTTTATGTCTTTTAGTAGTGATAATAATAAAATTTCTAAATGTGCAAAAATATTTTCAGTATGTGACAAAAAAAAAATCATGGAATAGGTGGTACATTAACGCACCACTGGGACAAAATGGGTTACTGGGATGATCCCATTAATAAACGCTCCACTCCGTATATAAACTCTACTTACTTCTACATAAACCATCCTAATTTATATTTTTTGTGTTATTTTATATTCAGGAGAGAATGATGTTGAATACGCCGAACTGTCGATGGCCCAAGGACTCGTTTTGAGAAACCAGGAAGACAATATGGCAACGAATCTGCTTAACAGTTTTGATAAAAAACTTAACACGTTCGAAGAGAGGATTAAATTGCTGACGTTGTTTGAAAATGCTAGCGACAGAGTTCTGGCGTCAGGCAGTTCTAAAGGTACTTGTGTTTATTTTAAATATACTGAACTAACCCAAATATTTTAGCAGGAAGTAATTCCACCGGCGGTCTCGATTTTCCAACTACTAGTTTCGATCTGGCTACGCTGGGGTCAGCTCCCCAAAAAATTAGTGGCGGTATAGTCGGCAATGGATGTGCATCAAAACTAAATGTAAAGTTATTGTGCTTGCAGGTTCAAGTTTGACAACTATGGAAAACAGGAAAAAGTTAAAACAAAGATTTCGGTCTCAGCATAATGACACCTCCCCAATTAGCAGTACCTCTGGGGGTGTTTGGACAGAAACGATACCTTTGACAGTCACCACCAAGGTATGCAAATAAATTATGCAGTGTGTGATTTTGAAAATTTTGCATTTTTTAGACACCCTTTGTAACTCGGTTATGTGTAAACTTATCGAAAAGTCTGATTTCTATAAAAATTTTTACAGTGGCGTAGTCATTTTCGTCTAATACATACAAATTTTAATATTATTATTATTATTATTATTATATCCAGTTTTTCATAATTGGCATATTTTGGCTTAATATAATGCATAGAAGAAGGAAGAAGAGGCAGAAATTACAATTACAATAATTACAAACTGCAATCAATGTCAACTAAAATATATTGGAAAAACGGACATCTTTTCCCATGGTTTTTTCATAAAAAAATTATTATTTGTATTTGGAATACTTCTTATGTGTTCTATATTTTTTAGAAGCTCATAATAAGTCTAAAAGATACATAAGGCTTTCAGATACAAGGTTAGTTCATATATCAACATTTATGAATTTCAGAGAGAAACTGACTATGCAACTGAATCCTACATAAGAGACCGAGCTACAAAGATTGTCTAAAAATGCAACATTTTGAACCTCACCCTTTATCTAAAAATCCAAGATAGCTATGAATTTGTTTGTTTCACTTTTCATTTCATAAAAAAAGCAGACTTCGGTCATGAAAGCTACAATATATTAAGCTTTCTTAGTAATGGAGATACGTCTTAAAACCATACACACTGTACATGTCCGTCACAGCGCGTTTCTGTCATAATGTCATGAAACTTGGAAATATGAAAAAACCTCCGTCCAAGGGTTCTTAGTATTTAAAAGTATAAGAATATTTAAAAAGTTAAAAACATTTATATATTATATATAAGAGTTCGGTATTTTGTATGAACACCCCTATATATTATTGCATTTTTGAAATATGCTGAATATTTTTTTGTGTATTTTGAATAAGGTTTCGTATCTTTGAGTTAAGTATTTAAATTTTTTTTCAACATATTTGTAGTACAAGATTGAATGTATCGGAGCCGCATCAGAGTTTTTCTTTTCCAAGTTTTAAAAAAATCGAACCATTTCAAATTATTGATTTATCTTTTACAAATTTGGAATTTTAAATTTTTGTTCCAATCGAGTCCGTTTGTGTTTAAAAAAAAAAGTAAAAAAAGCCCTTTTGACTATCAAATTTAATAAATATCTCCAAGACAATACAGCAATATAAGATAAGATAACGACAATATAGTATTTTTCTACTCCCGCCTGTAAAGTACCTAATTACCGACCGATCTAACGTGCGGGAAGCGTCACGTTACCACGTCAGCCACGGACATTTCTGGGATTTTACCGCACGGATTTGGGAGCAATCGGATGTTTTCGGAGATGTTTCCCACGCTTTGAATTTTAACGTTTGTCAATTCTGACGGTCATGTCATAAATGTATTGGTGTTGTTTTGCAAAATTGTACCCAAAAACTAACGGTCGTAGAGAAAGTATAGTATGCAACACGGTCGCTAAACTTTTTAACTCACTCGTTTATTAAACACTCGCTCAAATAAACTCGTGAGTCAAATGCCGTTTACCGCACTTGTTGCATAATATACGATTATTATTTCCTAAGTAGTAGGCTATTCACGCTACGCAAAGACCTTTTTTCTTGCAAATTGTAACAGTTTTCAGTAACAGATTTCACAGGAATTGTATTTTCAAATATCATCTCCTGGTTATATTCTTCAGTCTCATTGTATTGTTTTACTGTAAGGGATACCAATTGGTGGATATGCAATCTCACAACACTATAAACGGAAACTAACTTGTTTAATTGTGGCATTCCACTTACCGAAACTGCAGGTTCAATAAATAAATCAATGGAAAATAAAAAAAATAATGAGAGTCATTAGTAATTGCCAAGGTACCCTATCACACTATTGCCTAATCACTGTAAAAAACTGCTAAAGCTGTAACTATAAAATTCAACATCGGGGAGTTTTTGAACATGCAGAATTCAGAAAATCAACCAAAACTAACAGCAGTGTTGTCAGATTTACCACTTTTACATTACACGTCTAAATTTTGTTATTTTAAATGGAATGCCCAATATGTTTTTGTCATAATGAATGGCGCATGTCGAATTTAGTAAGGTCTCAAAATTTCAAATTTAAAATTTTATCTTTACCGTTTGAGCAGTTTCGGAGATATTCGCGATAGCGTTGCGATCTTTATATTAACCCGGCAGGTATTACCTCAAACAAGTACACCATAGGAGAACTTACTAGCGAGAAATATAAATATGAAGGAAAATAGATTGCGGTAGTACCGATAATTTTAACCACTAATGTTTTTTTAAGGAATCCGTTATGGGTCCTCTAGAATCGTTTCTTCGTTCAATAAATTGTTACCCCGAACACGATCAAAATGGTAAACGGGATTCGCCATTAAAAGATAGACGTAAACACCACTGCGGCGGTTCGCATTACGTGAACTCGGTAGCACACGCGACATCGCCTCCACCGTTGAGCGAACACGTCGAAAATTGCAACCAACCGTCTTCCTCGACAGGTTTAGTAAAATCATTTCCGGTAAAAGATGCGACCGCGATTTTGTCATTCACTTTCAGGGTTTAGTTGGACGCCGCCATTTGTGAATCAGAAGAGGGTACCAAGAGCCTCGCCTGCTCAACATGGCGATCATTCGATACCCGAGAAGGATAATAAAACCGAAAGGTGAGTAAGTATATATAGAGTAACTCAGAGATTGACCCTAACATGCAAGTTATATCCCCTCATTATAATTTAATACATATCACTATTTTGTCCTTTTTTCCTTAGTTACCGTCTTTTTTTTTCTTTTTTTTTTGTTTCTTTTTCCGTTATTTTGTATCTGTTTATTTCTTGGAGCAACTTAGTTGGATACCGCCCCTTTCTTCATCTGGAAATATATTATATATTGTCACTGTACGAAACAATAAAGACTTTATTATCATTTGAAATCCAAAAACTTTTGCGTACCGTGCTAAGCCGCTCTGCACTCGGAGGTGGAGGACAAAAAAAGGTAATGATAAGCCTAATAACATTATTAAAAAACACAGTATTCTAATTTAAGATTTCGATAAGTGTACGCATGACCGAGCTCCAAAGGGTACCTAAAAATGCACAATTATCAAAATCCCAGATTTATTTCATGAAAAAAATGACCTTTCGTCATGAAAGCCGCAACACTTTACTTTTATTAATAAGGGAGATATCTCGCTTATTAGTAAAGATCTAGGGATGAAGTTTTCGCGACTTTTTCAAGATGAGATGCAAAGCTTTGCATTGTGGGACACTCCTCGTACCTCAGTTATTTTAAAGCTTATAAAAGTAGAGAAATAAACGACACATTTTTTAATGAGTCTCCTTGTATATTCTTGGATAACACGATTGAGTTTGTCAAGAGCATCTCAGAAATATATAAAACTCTATGGTTGTTTTTAATATTAAGCCTAAAGTTTAAGTTTAAAAAAAACGCGTTTTTATTAGTTTGGCATGAGAGGTTATGGCTAGGGTTGTTCTGAAAATTTTGTTGCTTAGGTTTTTGGATTTCTTCAGCCCATTTAAAATGTTTTCAATGAAGCGTCATATAAATTTGGTTTAAGGCAAGCTATTATATTATTGTATTTTTCAATTATTCTAGCAATGCCAAACATATTTAATATGACAGAAATTTTCATCTAAAACCACGATGTAGAATTTTTTTCGCAGTCAGACCTAGTGCAAAGCCGATGGCACTTTCCTGGCTCAACTTTTCATAATGTATTTCTTGACACTATCTTCCGGTTTAATGGGAAGTTGATAAAGCGATAGCCCTGAAAATATTCTATATTGAGCGTGTTAGGAATCCTAGACATCCAAATTTTCAGAAAAGTCAGACTTCAGCAAACAATTATTAATTAAGTTACCATCCTCCGAGAATGGCGAACGGCTACCCTCATTCATTCTTTATCACAGAACATTACAAAAAAAAGCTCCCTTCAACAGTTATGTTTTTATTTTATATGTATAAAAAAGTAAAAATTTATTGGTGGTCCTAAAAATCTTAAATGGTATCAACATTCAAGTTTTTTGATTTTGTTTTCTTCGGATCACTAAATTTTGTTTTATATTTAAAAGCGTTCTAATCATTGATTTCCCCATGCGTAGTAACAGATAATGGCAAACTGGGTGGAATTAAACACAAATACGTGTCAACAATAATCTTTGATTTTGTCAAAATTGGCAAATCATGCCAGCTGTATCTATATTAATAATTAATTAAAATTAAATTAATAAATTAATTTTCTCCAAGATGCCGTTGGAGACTTCTTTAAGCCACTGCACAAATAAAAAAACGTAAATATGAACTTAATTTTATTTCTATAATATGTGCGTTTCCACATGCTTCCAAACCAATGACTTCGTCAAAAATGTCAACATTATTTTTGTTCAAGATTAATCATTGTCAGTAAAAGTAATAAAATTAAGAAGATTTATTTTCATCCGATCTAGTAAGTTGTCAATTTTCAAAAATCTGTAAAAGCCTTAGTTCTCTTTTATTTTCTATTTTATGAATCTTCCTACACCAAAATTTTTATTGGTAACACATTTTCTATAACGTTCTCCGTAAGCACGATATACTTCAAGCGCTAAATTGACAACCATCCACAAAGCACAAAGCAAAAATAAAAACCAAAAATTTCAATTCATACCGACCAAGCGCAACTTAATTTGAATCAAAGAAAACCGCCTCAAGTTCCACCTAGTGGTAGGCTGATTATCGGGTTTCGTACATATTTTGGTTGGTTTTGCTGTTTTGGAAAAATGTATCCAAAAATTAATGATCGTGGAAAAACGTTTCTAAAATTGAGTCATTGCTTTATTGAACACACGCACGAGTCAAATTTTTAAAATCCATTCAATCCTTTAGGAGCTACCAATCTTAATTAGGTGATAGTATTTGGCTCTGAGATCTAAATCTACGCCTAAGTAATTATTTTTATTCTTTTTCAGACATGACAAGGACTCTTATTAAATAAGGTAATTTATTTCTTGCAATGTTTAGAATGTAAGTTTTATTGTTAATAACTAATTTATACTTAATTATAGAAATAAAAATTTCCATTCATTCCAGAAACTAAAACGATTAAATTAGGCTGTGTAATTAGCTGTTACTTTATTAGAGCGTAAATATTTATTAAAATAAATTACTATGACTTTCATTGCGATGTGACTTTAAATAAGGAAAAAATCATTCCCCTTTGAATTACTTTATTTTTTTAAAGAAATTTCTACAGGCTGCTGTTATACTATTTACAAACCTTCTGGATCCCTCCTGCATCGGTTGTTTATGGATCAGATTTGCTGACCTTTCGCCAATCATCCTGCTGGCTGCTTTAATTGACTCTCAGTTAAGCTCTAAAGAAGTGAATAGGAAGAAAGGTCAGCAAGTTCGATTCATCAACAACCAATGCAGGAATAATCCAGAAGGTTTGTACATAGTGAGAACTACCTTGTGTTTCATTTGAGTAAGTAATTAATTATGATCTGGAAACCCTTCACCTTTATAACAAAGAGTAAGTTTTCAATATCAATTAAACATCAAGCAATTAAATTTATTGATGATCAGCTAATATTTACAGAGTGAACCAGATTACATTCTAAACTTGCGGGAGCTGCAAAACTTGCGAAAGAGACCTACCTAATGGTGTTAGTGTCGTCAGTCTAGCTATTAGAGCGAAAGTGTTCGAAGAATAAGTAGTAGTAGTAAGTATGCTTCATAAAATTGCAAGGCCTACTGAAACAGACCATGCAGATGAATGTATCCCCACTATTTTATATGTCCAGCTGGATCCACGGACAATAGTAAACCAACCCTTTTTTCCCAGTTCTGTGTCTGTTTCAGTCATAAATAAAGTTGTATAGGTGTGTGTGACAAAATTATACCAGTCCATTTCGTATATTCTATTTGTCTCCCTTATATAATGAAAAACTTACTCTCTCCAGCCTTTGCTATATGGTAGACTGTAGCCTCCGATAACAGTACACCAGTCATTGTTGTGCAGTAACCATTTTCAGATGCGCATTTCAAAACTTACAATTTTTCTGTTTTGTTTATTTTTTGTGAGCTAAATCTACCATTTTGTGTCACGTTCGACCCACCAACATGAGTGAACCTTTTGGTTTTAATGGAGACAGGACACTAACAACTGCCTAGTGAAATTAGGCCGTGTGTGTATATAAGCATATAATCGAAGGAGGTAAAGTCTGTTGATAGATATAAGAAAGTGACTAACTGATACGAATTAAGGAAAGACCCGGGCAAGCTGTAAGAATGAACAGGTCCGTACTTTGCTTGGAATTTAATTATTTGGGGTTTTGTTAGGAAAGATACTAAACAACCTACTTAAATTACTTAAAATTATTCACATAATGTTTCAGTATCAGTATTCTTATTTGTTCTATATTATTTGAATTATGGATATACGATTGTTCTGCTTTTTCTATATGTTTAACAGAATTTGCCCAACTTTGTGGAGGAATGTTAAAAACTTCGGTTTCTATAAGTTTGAGGACATTGGAGTAAACACGCGGAAAACATTGTTACGACGAATGGCAGATTTCAGTTGGTGCCAAAGTTGATGTTGGAATTTTCGTCAAGGTGGCTTCTAAAGATGCTTGCTTGGTGGCTGGCACCACGTTCAATCAGAGTCAAATAAACATTGTTTATAACTGAGATAAACTAGACTCGCACATATTTTGCATAATTCGCACAGGATTCAACACACACTGTATTACTCACGAAATAAGAATGATTACTAATAAACTTGAAACTAAGTAGTATACCAAACCAAAGAATATTAAACACAGGTAGGTATAAAATTATTTTCTATTATCTGAATTTAAATTCCGAAACTTTAGGTAATAATCTGGTTGCATTGTATGTTAATGACCACCCTTGGATAATCCCATTCAAAAGCAGTTGGTCACTTTCTTATATCTATGAACAGACCATAACATTGTTTCCACTTTAACATGGGCTGAAACAATCAATTCAAAACTAAAATGTCTTGCTAATATTTCGTTAAATATTACTTATAAAATGACAAATACTTCTTTTTACAATTGCTCATTTTTTGTTAGAAAAGTCACGTTTTGAAAGTAAGAAGGTGTTTTTGAATATTGTTATTCTATTCTAAACAGAAATGAAATGCCGCAATACTGTGAAGTTTGCAATAAACTCGGCGATTTGAATTTCGAAATGTCGTGAGTTAAATAACACAACCGACGCAGTACGTTTTAAAAAAGGTTTATTTTCGAAAAAACAGGGCTTTTCTTAAAACTAAAAACGAACAATTAAAGTGAACAGCAAAGTGCTTTGACACTACATTAATGTTACACGGGAAATGGTGGCAGTCGATTTTATATGGCTAATTCGTTGATTCGGCGTCTATTCAGCAGGATGCGTCCGGTCTAGGGATATTTCTTTTCTTGTTTTGTGTATTTCTACTGTTGAAGAAATTAAAGAAGAAGAAATCATCTATCAGAGACTACTACGTAATTCACCGTATTCTGTTGTGCATTTAGGCAGTTGACTTTGGCCCCGAAAAAGCTACGAAAATTTTAGACAGTCAAGGTGGGTAAAGTAAACTTTTTATAAAGTAAACTCTTTTATAAAATTAAATGATTAGATGTTGCCTAATTGTAAACTCGCCGTATCACAGCAACATAGAAATACCGTACTAAACTAATCTAATTATCAATGACCTTTTACAAATTTAAATGTATCTTTTAAACTGCCAACTGAAGAGACGCTTGATTGTCCATATTGTATATACAAGGTAACGAGGAAAGATGAAAAATAATTTTGTATTGATTAAAGGTGACTGAAGCAATAATAATGCACTTTTCAATGTCGAAAGTGCACACATATTGCCAGCTTCATTAAATATTGATAAAATCAAATATTGTTTATATATATATATATATATATATATATATATATATATATATATATATATATATATATATATATATATATATATATATATATATATATATATATATATATATATATATATATATATATATATATATATATATATATATATATATATATATATATATATATATATATATATATATATATATATATATATATATATGTTTAAATAAAAATACACATTTTCTCTCCGTAACCTTGTATTATACTATGATAATTATTTTTTAATACGAAATCTTAATCTGCCGCAATACTCACAATTGAGTTTAGATTTATTTTCATATCCATAAAAATGTGTATACTCCCTTTATGTTTAGAGAATTTATTTTTAAGAAATCTAGACTACCCGGATTCCGGATTCTCGTTCGATAAGCTAAGCCTGAAGAACTTTGGTGTTTAATAGCCTTTGATTAAGACCTATGTGCAATATATTTTTTTTCTAAATACGATGTTTATTGTTGGAATGTTGGACACCTCCAATAATCAATAATTACTGAGAAACGTAACTAATTCTATCGTCCTACGAGAGGTGCCGCCATCTATTCGTGCTAATTATTTTCACAGCTTAACAACAGATGACACTGCCACGTGTGCGTCATCTATTGACGCTTGCTTCAACTAGTTAGTTCCATGTTTCGCCGAAAGATGTCACCATTACCGTGTTCTTGCTATCTATTGTTACTGGCTTCAACTATTTAGTTCCAGTACCTAACGGAAGATGGCATGCACGCCATCTATTGGTGCTTACTTCGAATCATTAGTGTCAGGATTTAATGAGATGACACCATGAATTAAAGAAAGATGGCGACACTGACGCATTTCCGCCATCTATTGACTCTTACATCAAATAATTAGCTCCATGGTTTCACTCCACCACCGCGCGCCATTTTTTGCCTCATCTGATTAGTTCCGATGTTCAAAACTAACAAGAGGTGGTACTGCTGCCGCATGTTCGCCATCTATTGGCGCTTGGTTCAACTTATTATTTTCATCATTGAACGAGATGTTGATACTGCCGCGTGCGCGCCATCTACTGGCTTTAACTAATTAGTTCTAGCGTTGTTATATTAGTATTGGTATTGGTACCAGATGGGCCCGTTGTGCCCCCAGACCGCTCTAGAGGGCATCCAGAATGCCGCCCCTCCTATAGAAGGTCAGCAACTCCTTTAGCCCAATACCGTACACTGAGTTCGTAATAGATCAGGGCCGTTCCGAAGACTCCAAATCTTGCCCATGTCAAAGCAGAACACTCGGTGAGCAGATGATACGGGGTCTCCTCCCCTTCCATGCACCACCTGCACTCCGGGTCGTCTCCAATGCCTAGCAAGCAAAGATGCCTCCTAAGCCTGCAATGTCCTGTGTAGACCACTGTTAGTGCTCCATACTCCCTTCTGGTCAGTCTAAGCAGCTGCCAAGGGAGGGGGCCCATCCATCATAAGCCTCGCCTGCCTCATTCCCGGAGCAAATCTCCATCCCACCGCGGTTTGTTCTGTCGCCCAGGCTTCGAGGGCTCCCCGCCTCACACACGGGGCGATCCCCAGGCGGGGCTCTGGTCCCATATGCCTACGCGAGGAGCCCTCCAAGGCTAAGGCGTCCGCTGCCTTATTGCCCCGGATCCCGGTGTGACCCGGGACCCAGACCAACGTGACATTTCTCTCCTCAGTACCCCTTTGCAGTCCTTTATCAACAAGGAGCGCGTGCGCAGTGACTTCAGCGCCATAAATGCAGCCCTACTATCCGAGAAGAAGAATATACTCCTGCTTCCGTAGTTGAGCTGAAGCACCTCTCTGGCCGCCACCAATATAGTGAAAATTTTCGCCAAAAACACCGTGCAGTACTGACCCAGAGGGACCGACAAGCTCGATTCCGTTGTCTCGCAGTACGCTCCAGCTCCGGCCAACTCTCCCATTCTGAACCCGTTCGTGTACGAGACATGTCCATCCCAGGAGGCAACTCTGCCCTCTCTCCACTCTTCCCTTGATGGGAAGAGAAAGGTCCATTTGTCAAAGAAGGTCATCTCGGGGATCATGACGTCACTCGGCATGCCCATGTCGTACGGGCCCCAATTGAAGGTTCCCTCCCTCCAGAGCCTGCAGCTCGCCCAGCCTGACAGCCGTCCTGGCCGCATCCATCCGCACCCGAACCGCCAGAGAGGACAAACCCACTAGAGCCTCTAGGGCCCTTGTGGGCGCCGTCCTCATGGCACCCTTTACGCAGAGTCAAGCCAATCTCTGCAGTTTATCAAGAACTAGCCTTGCTCCTGCTCTTCTGGTCCCCGGCCACAATGCCAATGCCCCATACGTGAGCATAGGCACCACCATGGTACCGTAGATCCACTGCATGATCTTTGGCCCTAGGCCCCAAGTGCCCCCTACAGCTCTCCGGCACGCCCACAGAGCTCCAAAGGCCGACCTGATCCTTGATCTTATATGTTCCTGGAAGGTCAACTTGGAGTCCAACCATACCCCCAAGTACTTGACGCTTCCGATTGCAGAAACAGACACCCCATCCATCGAAATGTTGAGGTTACGCTCCAACTTCCTTTTCCTGGTGAAGATGACCATCTCCACCTTGTCAGGATTGACAGTCATTTTGCTGTCCCGGCACCATTGTGAGAATCTTGCCAATGCCCCGTTCAGGAGCCCATGCATCCTTCTCACGTCCGTCCCCTGTGTCATTGTCACACACAAGGTCGTCTGCATATGCCTGAGCATACACCCCGTGTTCTTCCCTTAGAATGTGCAATATCTCGTTCACCACTAGGCACCACAGAAAGGGGAACAAGACCCCACCCTGTGGACAGCCCCGTGACGACCCGATGGAGACCTGCTCCCCACCCAGTCTTGCCTCAACCCTCCGGTCGGTTAGCATGGAATGCCCCATCGATGTCAGCGAACACGCATACCGACAGCCGTACCGAGCCTATACCCTCCTCCAACCTGGAAGTCAGATCGTGAAGAGCCGAGCCCACAAACCCTGGCTGGCTCTAAAGGGGCTTCCAGCTCCAGCCAGTCCCTTAGATACCGGTCCACCAGTCTTCATAATGAAGCTGGAGAGGCAAACGGGCCGATATGATTTCGGGTCCGTGTAGTCGCTCTTTACTACCCTGCTGTGTCTCCACAGCTCGGGCATGTATCCCCTTGCAATGGAGGCTCTGAACAGATCCATCAGCGA